AATATGATACCAGGTATCTAAGAATAAGTTTCATGGACTCCATGGGGCAATACTGATTTAGATTTAGCAGGTTGGGTCACCAATTATAATTACTTGAAGTTTGTAGTCGTAAGAGGAGCTGGACATGTAAATTATTAGTATTTATTGATATTAGATGGTCCCTGAAGATTAAAGATAAAATGCCTTTGAAATGTTTGATCATTTCATTAATAATTATGAACTCCCAAAATACCATTTGAATTGAATAGTATTATTATGTTAACAATATCAAATTCACCTTTTTATTTATAAATGTTTCTCATCTAATATTATTCAATAATTAGCCTATATATAATAAATAAGAAATAAATAATTATTTATGAATACTTGCTCAACAACCGATTTTGATAAAACAGCATAGTTTTTCTTTCCAATTTAATCAAATGCTCCCTTTTCTCCTTAGAAATAATCACAAAAATCTCTATAAATTATATTCATTGATCCTTATAAAAAAGGATCCAATAGCAATATCAAAATAAAAAGAACAAATAGTTAAATAGAACTACCTAAATTGTAATTATACACTGAAGCTGAATCTCCTGACAGCCATAAAAAACAAAGAGGCAATTTTATGAAAGATTAATTGTATACTCCAAATGCTAGTAGAGCAGAAAGATTTCCTTATACTAACATAAATAAATCAAATGAATCTAGTCCTTAAAAAATGTCTAGTTAAATTAGTTTTAATAAATAGAAACAAGTTTAAAAATCATTTTTAAAGAGCAGACCTCAATAAAAGATAGTAACAAGAATATTTGGGGAATTATGATATTATTTATTTATTAATATTGATTATATCAATAATCACTATTAATCTTCTTCTTCATCATCTCCAAATATCAATTCGAATATATTTTGATCTTAAATTCTACTAGGAAGCATATCCTCCTTATCTTCAGAGAATTTTATGTTTCTTTTCTCTTATTTAGTCACTACTTATGTCTGAGACCTTTCCATATTCTCTAGTTATAATAGTCGTTCTTGTTGATTTCTTTCATAAGAGTGTGATTTAAATGATAATGGTAAACCTAATGCAACTGGATCAAATTAAGCTTAAGATTAAGTATATTCTTATGGTTGCATGAAACCACCAGATTTGAATCTAAAATTATTAAAATCATAATAAATACTCTTTTTTATCCATAAACAAGAAGTTTCTATTATTAGTTGCCATATTTGGTTTTTGATGACTTCTTTCATTAATTTTCTCTATCATAGTTTTTTCATCATCATTATATGGTTAAGGAACTCCCATTCTCTTACAAAATAAATCTTCTGGAATCCATCTCTTATTGACTCTCTAACTCAAAAAAGGATTAGGTTTTTCTTATTATTCTATTGGTTTTTATGGTTCTTATTTTTTTTCAATAACATTTTTTGAGGTGACTTAAAACATTTAATAAAGCCTTTCAAAATCAATTTTTTCTTCCTCATCTAATTATATTTATTATTCAGTTGTCTTATTTAATTTTTGCATAACAAAATTAGCATATCTCTATTATTTATCAGGTTAATGAGGAAATAAATTTAAAATATTAATGTTATCTTAACTTTCATTTTTATCCTATTAATTAGGTTACTATCCAATAAGCATTGTTTAATTTATTCCTTTGACAAACTTTTGTTTGCTTATGTCTCTTTTAATAGAACTAGCTATTAAATTTTATGTTAAATTAATTACCAGTTTCTTCTTCTCTAAATATTTCTTCTCTCTTTGAACTAGATGCAGGCTTTTTAAAATTTGTCTTATTGATAAAAAGAAAAGAATAATCTTTTCCTTAATCCAATAATTTTTTAGCTTTATGATATGGATCATAATCTTCAGGAACATTAATTAGATAATCTTTAGTATCTATTCTTAATGGAATGATGTCTTTAGTAAATCTCATACCAATATCTAGAGCCCCCTTAACCTATTTCCTTTTATTTTAATATGGTTCATCATCATCTTCAATTGTATTGTTATCTTAAATTATAAATTTTTATTTACATTCTTCATCCTTATCTTAAGATGTAAATCCATTCATTTTGATTCTGTTATCTTTTTTTCTCTTTTCTTCATCTTCATCAATTATAATAGAAGCATTTTATTTTATAAAAGTCCAAAATGCTTATTCTAAGGGATTTGAGGGATTACCAAATGTATCTATATTTTATTTATAACCTAATCCAGTGTATTAATTATTAGTTTAATTTAGATATTTTAAATTATAACCTTAAGAAGGTTCTTGTTTTTATTGTTCAACATTTGTATTTCTCTTTTTGATCATTTATTTCCTTAATCGCATAAGTACTTAATAACCCACTGACTTATTGTCTCTGTAAATCAATTCCTCTGGTGCTGATCCTAAGAGCCATCTTAACTTAAAGTGCATTCAATATACCCAGATCCAGATCCTAATTGCTGCTGTAAAAAATTGATCTCATTCTAACCAAATGTATCGTATTCTGATTAAATCGTAACATTAACTCCTAACTTTTATCTTCCTATATCATCTTCATCCATATAATCCTTAATTGATTAATTATTGTATTTAGCTAATTTAACTTATCTTTAATACCTCTATTTGTTCTTGTGGATATAAATTTCTATGGAGCCCATCCTTATTTAGAACCAACTGTGTTCTTAAACCCAGCCTCAAATCCACCTTCAAAGGCTCCATGAAATCTCTTATGTCCCTTTTCATCTCTAGCCTCCATGTTATAGAAATTATCCTTTTTGGTTATTTCTTCTTCTTCAAATAATGTTCCAATAAGTTTCTTATCAAGGAAATGATTTCTTATCTACGACTACTATTATTATTAAGACATTTTTAAATAATATTTATATCCTTATTTATACATTATATAGGAATAAACCTAAAATATTTCAAGTTATACAAAGATCTAAATAATCTTGATATGATATATAATATTCCATCAAGAAAAATACCTCTTTAAATTGATAACAAAAGAAAATTTTAATTTAAATTACATGAATATATTTGGATAAATTTTGTATTTTTCTATTAAAAGAAATAAACTTGGATAAATTATTAAACCAATATTTTGTATTAGATAAAGTACAATTATTTATTTGAGAAACAAAACAATTATATATACTTTAATTATGTAGATACAGAATGTAATTTATTTAATTTAATGGTGTCTAAAGTTTTAAATAAAAATAAAAACATATCAATTAACAAAATAAATAATGCTAGGTAAAAGATATAAATATAAGTATTATTGAAAATATTTATATAAAATAAAGATTTTGATCATGAAATTCAAAAAGAAAACATTAATTTTGATTTAATTATATTTAAAGAGGATCAAAATATACCATCTATTGAATTATAATCAATATAAGTTTCATAGAATCTTAGTTATCTTGCCAAAATGAGATTTTATATTAATGTAAGAATCTGATAAGCATGTAACTTTATATATTCATTTAATGTTGGATTATAAGAAGCATAATTTAATTAAGGAATTATTCCTGAAATTCTTCTATTATAACCTAAATAAAATATTTACTGTCATCTAATCAAGATGGAGGGGTCGAAGAAGTAGATTTGGAACTGTTGCAAGACGAATCAATACTAAGAAAGTAAAAGAAGAAAAATAATATGAGGAATCTAAAAGAATGAAAATTAAATACAAAATAAAATGGAGAAAAACAAGAGAGGAGATATAATTGACTATAATCAATTGATTATTTTCTAATCTACATTAAATTTTATTTTCTATATTAAATTTCAATTTTTAGATGGAATTTAAGAAAGAAAAGCCTAAAGCAACATCTCAAAGATTTAAAAAGATTACTTAAAAGCTTGGAATCTAATCGTTAAATAAAGAAGAAAGATTTGATGAAGGAATGAAAGATTTTCATAATTTAGATACATTTTTCACAGTCACTGATTTACTGAAAGATATGAATAAGGATCAGCCAACTCCAGAGAGATAAGCTTTATTTGAAAGTTAATAAACTTTAATTAAAACAAAACTAAAACTTAAAAAATGGAAATCAGAATACCCTGATTATTTGAAGTTTGAAGTAAAACCTCCTTAAACTTAATATCGAAATAAGGTTGTTCTATTATAAAAAGCATAAACTCATTTGAATTTGTAAAAATATGAACCTTAACTTTATAAAGAGGTTGAGAATTTGTCATGTTTGTTAAAGGATAAATTTAAAAATGTTGATATGAAGGAATATCCACAACTTTAATTATTTTAGGAAATCAGTCAATATGAAGATTTAAGAGTAAGAACAGAATTTAATGAAAGTTTGAGAGATAGTTATCGTAAAGATAGACTTTCTTTAAAATTGGAATAATTTGAATAAAAACCTACTGTCTCATATGATACATATTATAAGAATTATCATAATTAAGCTGAATAATTAAGAAATCGACTAAAATAATAATAAATGAATTTTTTTAATTAAAAATGGGGAAATTCAGTTGTAAAAATGAAAATGAAAGAAGCTTAAGATAAAAGAGGATTCATAGAAAAAGCAAAATAAGTTAGAAGATAAGCAGTTACTAAAAAAGTTGTATTACCATATCTAGCCCCTATTATTAAAAATATTATAACTGATATATGTATGGAAGAAGCAGAAATGATGGAATAAAAAAGGAATTTAAAAAATGAAATTCAAGAATTAGCAAAGGTTTGTTCTGATTTTTATGATCCTAAACCAGAACCATAAATTATGGGATTAAGAATTATTAATTCTTGAAATTTTTCTCAAATCATTCTAATTAACATAACTAAAAATAGATTATAAAATATATAATTTTATATTTATTTAAATATAAAAATGAACTAAATTAGTTAATAATATATAAAGATATTATAGATATATACTTGTTTATAAATTTATATCAAAATTCTACAATAGTATTTTTAAAATTAATAAATATTATGTTTATAATAATTACTAAAAATAAATAATAAATATTCATAAATATTAATCAAACAGCTAGAAAATTTTCCATAGATTTCAAAAACTCCATATATAATCTTTACTCTTTGTCAATTGAATATGCTTCAATTAATGCATTCAATGATTAATTAATACCATAACTTTCTAGATAAGTATAAAGTGATTGTTTTAATTACTATAAAATTTATTATTATTTTTTACTTCATCTAATTTATTAATTTCTGGTCCTGGATAATCTCTTAAGAATTTACGATATTTGGATCTTTTTTTGTACTCTTGGATATCATAGACTGGTTGTACGTAATTGATGAAAGTAGTCTGGTTACCTGTAGTACAATCCTTTCAAGTAATACTTGTATTGCATTCAAAAGCTATAGCTTCTCCCTTTTCAGTTTCGATTAATACTGTATAATCTACAGAAAGTATTCCTAATTCTAATTCTTATTTAGTCTCTTAGATTTTTTATTGTATTTTGTCTTGGTATTTTGGATTTTATGAGATGGATTAGTCTTCTTTTGATACTTTTCTAATAATAAAGTGATTTTTTTCAAAATTATTACATTTTGCTTTCTAAAGGTGGTGGTGTACCTCTGAATTCAATCGATATCTTTTTAGATGAAAATTCTTTATTAAAAGTAACTTTATTAGTTTTAGGATCATCTATCAATTAATATCCTAGATGTTTGATTTATTTCATTAATGTTGGTTCTTATTCATATTAGTGATATTCATATTTATACTCTTTAGATATTGTTTTAAAGAGAGTTCCTCTTGCCATTGATATATTCGAAAACCTATAGAAAGACATGAATCTCAACATTATTATAATATTTTAATTATTAATAATATGATAGATCGAAGGAGTCAGAGTCCTATGGCTACAAGCTAAAAAATGGGAACTGCAAGAGCCATATTTGATACAGGTACAGAATAAGAACCGACAAAGAGATTAACAAGATCAATAAAAAATACTAGTGCAGATCCTTAATAGACAGACTATAAATAATATTAAAATTAGACTTTTTTAGGGATATAAGGTTCTTAAGAGATAAATTGTAAATTGTATGTTTATTTAAAAAGCATAAAATTCACGTTAAATAACTTAAGAAAATTTTGAGTATCGGAAACCAGAAACGGACACTCTCAATTTTAGAACAGTTCAAACTTATAAACCTTAAGAAGTAAGTGCTTAACCAACTTCTTAATTTAACTACTAAAGTTTTGAATACAAAAAACCAGACGCTGGTCGTGCAGGATCTTACATTTAGTCAGGTACTTGAACTATTTAATTATAGCCTACAATACAACATGTATTTAATATTTTTATTACTCAAGTTTAAGAACCAATAGGGAGTTAGCTTAACTTTCAGAATAAAACTTTGTATGAACCACCAAAATAAGATAATACATTTACAAAATATGAATTAAATTCATTTGATAAATATAAAACTACTTATGAATAGCCTAAAAATTATGAAAAGTTTGAACAATACAAATTTGAACCTATGAAGTATGATTTTAATTTACCTGAATAACCAAAAGAATATTAACCATCATATAAATCTATTCCATAAGCAAAACAAAATTTATCAGTTGTGTAATTCTATTAATTTAATATAGTCAAACTTAATATACTCCTTACAATCCTGATAGAATTACTTTGGATACATAAATAAATAGAACTACTTTAAATCATCCACCTCCAATCGAATCATTAAGTATTGGACCTAGAAAAACAGAAGAAATAATTCGACCTTCAGAAATTCAAATAAACACTTAAAAACCAATAGATCCTATTATTAATAAAGGATAGTATCCTCCTTCAATCCATGCAGAATCAATTAAAAATGAATAAATATATAGACCAACAACTCCAGTATATACATAATAATAATAATATCAATTATCAAATTAAAAATAACCTGAATCATAATACAAGTAAGAAACTATAGATATTATGAATAAACCAAGTTATAAATGTAAATAAATAAATTATTAAATTTAGTTGATTTACCTAAGAAATTTGTTGAAGAAATTGTCATAATAGAAAATGAAGCTAATGAACATGAATTTAATGCAGGTTGTCAGATATTTTGATATATTTGAATAAATAATATATATATATATATTAATGTTATAAGATAATAATTAAAGAGAATTTAAAATACTAATAGGATTTACAGGTTCAGTAGCTTCAATTAAAGCTGAACAATTGATTAATGATATTTAAAAGAAATTCAAAGAATTTAATTATACAATAAAGATAAGAATTATTACAACACAAAATGCATAAAAATTTATGAATCCTTTAATTGAAAATATAGAACATTTTTCAGATGAGGATGAATTTAAAACATGGAAATAAAGAAATGATCCAGTATTACATATTGAATTAAGAAAATGGGCAGATTGCTTATTGATTGCTCCTTTATCAGCCAATACAATGGCTAAGATTTCTAATGGTTTATGTGATAATTTATTAACAAATGTTGCTAGAGCATGGGATTATAAGAAACCTATGATTTTAGCTCCTGCAATGAATACTATGATGTATGAGAATCCAATTACTTTTAAACAAATTAATAAACTATAAAAGATGGGTGCTTTTATAATAGATTCAATTAGTAAGACCTTGATTTGTGGTGATATTGGTAAGGGAGCTATGGAAGAGACAAATAATATATCATGTATTGTCTATCAACGATTAGTCTCTAAAACTTGAATTTATTATTTATAATTATATGCAATAATGTATTATTTAGAATGATTTTGATGCTGAAGATGTGAGTCCTTGGCAAGAGATGAATTTATCCCCTTAATCTATTCTTTATAAATAGAATCAATAATATAGAAGCTCAACAATTTATTCTGGTAAGGATGAAAAGTAAAAAATAAACAATACAAAAACCAGTTATTCTAAATTAACTAAACATACAGCAACAACTACAACTACAGAATTTCCTATAAGATGTTTAAGAAACAGAGTTAGGAGTATAGATTAGACTTAGAAATAGTTTTTGAAAGCAACTCCTGTAAAATAATATTGTGACTTTAAACTGTCAAAAGAGTTATTGATGTATAGAAATACTGCTGATTTTCCTAAACAAACTTTGCCTCGTAATTTCTTATCATTCTAAAGATTAAAGAAATCCTATAGTAGAAAATAAACTGTTCATTCTCAAGAACTAAATCCACAATTATTATAGCTATAGATGCAAATGAAAAAAATGGAAGAATAAGTATAATAATAAAAGAAATCTTCTTGGGAAATTGGTGCTCGTAGACTTTCTAATCCCAAATTCTAAACATTTTTAAGTACTTAAGTTTGATATATAAATCTAAATTTTGGACTTACATTTTATAAATAAAAATAATTTCTATTAAACTACCTGAATTAAATTGGTCAAATCAACTAAAGTTATAATATTATCTGTTTTAAAGAGAGGATCTCCATTCAAATGATAGTTCGATATGATATTAATTTATTGAACAATAAATGAAGAATATCAATCAGAAAATTAAAACCATATTAAACTTATAAAGAAAAATAAAAATTAAGCAAATAATTAAAATTGCTCTTAATTATCTATAACAAAATAGACTTAGATTTTAACTCAATAACATAAACAATAAAGAGCAATCTTAAATTCTTAAAATCTTGAGAATAAACTTAAGGCAATAAGAACATAAGGAAATTTCATATTCAATTTTTAAGATCTGACAAGTATTTAAATAAGTCTTGGTATCAATTCATAAAACTGCTCAATACTAAGTTATCAAATAAATTTAATAGATTAAATGATTAATATAATTGTTTAAATGAAAATGAATAAAAAGAATAGAATTAAACTAAAAATTATAGAAATTTAGACTAAATTATCTAATTCTGAATAAGCAAATATGAGTAAAAAAACTGATTAACTTGCTATTCAATTTATTGTAAAGCATAAGAAAACTAAAATATTAATACAATATTTGTTTTTATTTTATATAATTATGGGAACTTGTGTTTAAAGTGGAAATTAGAAATAAAATTAAAGCAACACATATGATTAAGTCAGACTAAATGAAAATAGACATGTTTAAATTGATCCAAAACAATAATTGGAATGGAAAGTAAATAAAATAGAGATGTAAATATCTGAAATATGCAGGAAAGTATACTAAAACCATAATTAAAGGTAGAAGAATTCTAAAAGCAATAACTATAAGAAAATTAAAATAGACATCATTAAATGGTATAAATAATAATATATAATTAGTAGAAAAACTTAAATGATTCTGAAAATGATTCATCAAACTTACAAGTTGACTTAAATTTGAGATCATTAAATTTTCAAGTATAGGATAAGACATAGTAAAGAAATTCTTCTCTTTTTGAAAGTGAGAAAAAATAATAAAGTTCATTCACCTAAGGTTTATCATAACAAGAAAAAAATCATAATCTATTTAGTAGTCAGAGACAAATAATAAATTGATTGATTTTCTATCTAAAAGTAAGATAGATGTTCTATTAAATCCTCTTCCTTCTCCACCTAAATTATGAGGAAATATCGAATTTGGTGTATATAAAGCATTTGATAGTGCAGAAATCATACCTTTAGTAATAAGAATTAGAATCTGAATGTGAAGAATTAAAAGTAGAAGACCCACTATATTTTGAATTAGAAATTGTGTTAGTTAAGAAAGAAGAGGTTCCATAACCAGAACAATAATCATTTCATTCCGAATAACTAAAATCATAGGTAATTCTTAATAATTCACTCTTTTAATAACATTAAGAAGATACAATATCTTTAGAAGATGACAATCCTCAAGAAGTATAATAACAAATTCATCCTCCCTAAGAAAGATAAATTATTCTTTAATCCTCAAGAGGAGAATAAATGATCATGTCCTTTGCTCCAAATTAATAATAATTATTCATAAAGTCTTAATAAAAATCCTAATCTGAAAATGAGGTTTAATTTGAACACTAAATCATAAACCAAGTTTAGAAAGAGCAGTCCCATCAAACACTGATATCCTTAATATAGAAAATGAACATGTAGTTGCGTTGTCTCTCTAATTAGAACCAATAAACATTAATATAGATATGAATGCTTGTGAAATGTTGGGCCCATATTTAATTCTAGACACTGGAGATATTTATGTAGGTACATGGTAAATTGGTAAAAAAGATATGGGTTTGGGAAATAAATATTTTCTAATGGAGCTTATTATGTAGGATAATGGTTAAACGATTTTTTAAATGGATATGGCAGATATATTTTTAAAAATGGTGATTAATACTCAGGAGAGTTTGTTCATGGGGAAAGAGAAGGTGTTGGAGTATTGGTCTATTAAGGTGGTTCCTCATATGAAAGTAAATGGTTAAAGAATTAAAAAGTAAATATAATAATAATATTTAAAGGATGGTGAAGGAAGAGAATAAACTGGAGATGGTAATGTCTAAGTAGGATCATTCAAAGCTAATAAAAAGGATGGTAAGGTAGATTGAAATATGTAGATGGATGCATTTTTTTAGAGATGTTTAAAGAAGGTTAGATTTGTGGAAAGGGAACCTAAACTTGGCCAGATGGAAAAAGATATGAAGGAGAATGGAAGGATGGGAAAATGCATGATTAAGGAAAATTCATATGGGGAGAAACAAAGACTTTTAAAGGAGAGTATGTAAATAATGTGAGGTAAGGGTATGGAGAATACAGTTGGCCAGATGGGAGAACATACAAAGGAGGATGGAAGAATGGAGTTATGCATGGGAAAGGTTTAATGATTTGGCCTGATTAGAGATTACAGAAAGGGATTTGGATCAATGGATAGAAACAAATTACTAAAGAAGAATAGACTTTATTATCAAAAGTAAAGAAGCCTAAAACTGCTGATACATCTGTAAATAAGACTAAGGATTTTGGTGCTGAGATTAAGGAAGAAAAAGAACAATAAAAAAAGTAATTTATGCCTCAATCTAAAATATAATAAAAGAAGAGCAAAACAGAATCTTAAAATTGATTAATATTTAATTTAACTAAATTTAAAGTATTTATTTTTAAATGGAAAACTAATTGCCAATAAGAAAGAAAACATATCATTCAGAGTCATAACAAGATGACAAGAACAAACCTAGAATCTATAAAAATTAAACAGATAAGCTTTTAACTAGCTTATAAAAAATTACCTTGCTGGATATTTTAGATGAATTTGCAAAAGAATCAGAAAATAAGAGCATTACTGAAATTTTGAAGGCCATTCTTAATAATGTTGAGAATAAATAAAAGGAACCTGAGATTAAGACAGATTGGGATGTAGGAAAGTAAGATAAACCAAATAATAATTATAACTAAAAATTTGAGTCAAATAATAATTTTTAAAATAATAAATTTAAAAAGAGGAATACAGAAGGGGGTTGGAATGACAATCAAAGAACTGATTACAGTAATAAAGAAAATGGAAGAGGAGGAGGTTTCGATAGAAATGGAGGTTATGATAGGAATAAACCTTGGGAAAATAAAGATGGTAGAAAATAAAACTTTTAAAGGGGAGATAATTGGAAAAGTAATTAGGAAGGATAAAAGAATAGAGGTGGAGATTGGAATAATAAATAAGGAAATGGAGATTGGAAGTAAAGTGGAACTAATAATGATTGGAAAGTTAGTGAAATTAATAATGATTTTAAGTCTAGTGGTAATAATAATGATTGGAAAACAAGCGGAAATAATAATGATTGGAAAAAAAGTGGAACTAATGATTGGAAATCAAGTGGTATCAATAATGATTGGAAATCAAGTGGTATTAATAATGAATGGAAGACTGATACAACAACAGAATAGGTTCAACCAGTTTCTTGGGGATCACCTAAGTGAAATATAATTAAAATATTTAAACATTTTTTTTTTAAGTATTTAATATAAAATTTATAAAATCAATATAAAATAAATGAGACTAATTATTTCAGTTTAAATTGATAATGTTTATATTTCATAATCATTTTTTGCCATAGGAGGTTTAGTTAGCCATTTCTAAGACTTATTATTTGAATATGTGAATGACTTCATCAATAATAGCATTTTCCTCTAAAATAATTAAAAAATAAAATACCATTTCTTCTATTAAGTTCTGTTTCATAAAGATCTCTTAATTCTTAAAGAGTGGCAGTTGCAGCATTAATAGCATTTTATGAATCTTTTAAGACTGAATTAGCCTTAGCTTAAACAGCAAGAGCAGCTTATTCTTACTAAAAAAATAAAGGAAAAGTATTACCACAACCAACTTATCTTAGAGTTAAGTTTTTCTTTGAATTTCATCTTAAAGATGTGCTTTTTCAGCTTCTGAATCAGCCAACCAATCAGCTAATTGATAATATCCTGCAATTTCATTTTATTCTAATGCAGCAAGAGCTGATTTTAATTAATCTTCTAAGTCACTCAAGGCATTATAAACAAGTTATCCAACATTAACTCCTGGTTATCTATCTCCACCAGTAGAGGCATCAGATTCTCCTAATGCATGTAATTCAGCATTTCCTGATGCTTATTCAGCAGCCAATTAAGCAAATTTGGTCATGGCATCTTGATTGAACAATTAACTGTATTATTTCAATTTATCAGCTACATTTTCAACTTTCAATTCAACCATTGATGATGGAGCTCCTGTTAAATAACCGCTAGATATTAATAGTTAAATTATACCTTAAATCATTCTTTAATATTCTTATGACTCCTATAGCATCATTATGTTGTTTAATAGCTCTAACAAACAATCCATTTGAGAAACATCTTAACTCTTCAAGTTCAACTTCTCTTCTATCAATATCAGCTAATCTTTATGTTGCCCATGCAATATAGTCTGTTGCTTCCTGGAATTTATTAAATCAAATACTCTATATTCAACACCAATTTGTTCTCTTCTAGCTTTAGCACTTGCCCAAGCTTTTTAATTTAATTCATTAACTTTAGAAAGAGCAGCAATTCTTCCTTATCCAATTTCTTCATCAGAAATATTCTTTTCATCTGCAACACCTTAAGCTTCAATATTGCTGGTTTTCAAATCATTCAATAAATCATAGACAGCTTAAACAGCATCATTGGATTCTGATCCTGTCTTTAAATATATTCATAATTTATACCTATAAGAGGAGTGCGAAATCAATATCCAAGGCTGAAACACTTACTAAGGCAACCAAAGCAATGGTTATGAACTTATTCATGTCAATAAAATTAATAATATTTCCATAAAAACGGGTATGAGCTTTAATAATAAAATAAAATAAATAAAATCTCTATGACTGATGATGATCATTATCCACTTTTAGCTACAACAAAGCCCTATATCATAGCAATGGTTACAATTCAAATTTTCTTAATCCTAATTGCAGTTACATTGAATTTGGCTCACTGAAACCTCTATTTGTATCAATATTTAAATACAACATTCATCAACATCATTAATTCCTTCAAAAATAAAAAAATTTATTCCTTTTAAATCTTTTTAGATAGTTGAAAATTTGCAAATGATAATTTATCAAATACTTTTGAAATTCATTTACTTTTTGACTATATCTCAAGCAAAAATTATAAAATATGTTAGTGTATTTCTAATTAGAAATATAATCCCTAAGAATAATTGTAAATAATATTAATATAAATCAAAATCAGCATTAATGTATAATAATTTAAAAAGAACAATTTGTTGCCTAAATAATCAATAAAAAATTTATTTTTAGTAAATTTTTGTATTAAAAAAATAGGTGTTCTTTAGAAAATGACTATATAAATTTTTATTTTATTTAGTCATTTTAGACTTAATTAACCATTTGATATTGCTAATAAAGGAATTTATTTTAAATTATTTTGCAAAATCAATGTAGAATTTTCTTAAAAGTCTTGAAAAGTAGTTTTTCTTACAATTTAGGGTTTGTTTAAAATATTAATTTTAGTAAAGCTTAATTAAATTATTATTTATTAGACATTTTAGTTATTTAATTCCTGAGTTTGGATATATTTTAATTTATCTTAGTTATTTTGAATAATGGAGAATTTTTGTTTTTAAAAAAGATGGAATTGATTTCTGATGTTAAATTTATTTAAACTTCTATATTTTTAATAATTATAATTCTATTGGTAAAAAAATGTAATTTCAATCAATTTTGCCTCCATTTGTTTTTCTCTTCTTTTTGCTTGGATTTATTAAATCAGCATTTGATGGAAACTATACATATTGATTTCCATAAAAAGGTATTCCATAAGGACCTTTTCTAGGTAGTAATACTTCTGGTGTATTTAAAATCTCTTAACCTATTGTAAGTAAATTTTTCTTAGGTGGAGGAGGAGGCTTTTGTAGAGGTGGTTATTCAACATCTATCATTTATTCATTTTTTTTCTTTCTAATTGTATTTACTTCAATTTCTTTAGTAAATTATAATTAAGTAGCTTTTAAAACATCGACTAAATCACAAACAAATTAAAATTGAATTTTTCTAGTGTCTTCATCATTTGTTATAGGCAAACCTTAATCTAAAGGTATTTATCCTTTTAGTTAAACATGTCTTTGTAGAGAGAAGTAAAGTACTATATCTAATTAAGCTTCAAATTAAACAAAATCATATGAATTTTCACTAATTGCAAATCTGATTAATTCACAAAATGATGAATAAGTACCTTTAATATCTGTTTTTTAAATCATTTCATCTAATGCTGCTCTATCTATTTTTTACATCCATATCATATTTCCATTATATACTCTAATTATTACACATAAATCTTTTCTAGATGTTTCTTATTTTTTAAATAGCATCAAATATTTTGTTTCATCATTTTCTTTATTTTAAGAGTGTAAACCATCTAATTTTTAACATGCTTCTTTATAATCTTCTTTTTTTCTAAAAGCATCCATAGGATCTACTTTTTTAGATTAATCCTCTTACATTAATTATCTTATAAGTTTTTATATCAAAAAATCCCTCCCTAAAAGTAAAAAGATTAACTATCCAAATATTAGATAACAATTTTATAACAACTATTAATAAAATGATTTCATAAACAAAATCACATATGACTTTAAAATTACCCCCCTCCTTTAAATCATAGTTCATAAATAATAAACATAAAATTCTTTAAAAAAATAAGAATATTTAAGTTATTAAATTGGATCAAAAAAATACTTATATTGAGGATTTAAAAATCTATCTAGTACTAACATAATTATAGATATTTCAATTTCTTTAAATTAGTGTCTTAAGTATCTATGTTTTTATTCTATTTTAATTTTATAAAATTATTATCAACAATAAATTTAAAAACATGTTCAAGATTATTATTAAATATGATAATACTTTTGATATATCTATTTTATCAATATTATTTTATTTAGATTATTTTGATAAATGATAAATAGTTTAGAATTATTAAATATAATAAAATATTTTTAACTGTTAATGAAATATTCTTAAACAACTGTAAATGTGTTCATAGACATTAGCTATAAAACTCGGCATCCTAATTTAATATTCCTGTTGGCAGAAGTGATTCCTAAAACTGGAATGATGTTAAAAAGGGCATAAGAGATAAGGTTTACTCAAAGGTTTAGGGATTCGAGAATTAGAAATTTATTTAAAAAAGCGAATTACTTTATAATTTTAAGAATCAAGAAGAAAAGAATTCAGCTTAACCTTTATCTCATAGATAATCAGCTAATCATTTAAAAAATTTGATGGACAACAAATTTCCAAAATAAGAATCTCCAATTAAAATGGGTTTAACTCGTGCAATTTACTCTCCAAGTTAGAAACAATATCATCCCTTAGATGATATTTAAATAAAGCATAATTATCAAAGTGCATTTGGTTCTGCAATAAATAAGGAAAAGGTCAAAATTTAATCTTCAAAAAAAGAATAATAATACTCCTCTTCAAAACCATTGACAGATTTATTAGATATGAAAAGAAATAAAGCAGTAACAGAAAGAGCAACACTTGCAGAAATTATAAGAATTTCAAACCATCTTCAAGATGTTTAATAAGCAGAAGCTACTTAATTAAGTAGTGCATATTTATAAGAACTTATAAGTTTATAATAAAATATAGGGAAAGTACTTAAAAATACATCTAATAAAGTTTACAAATGAGCCATAATAATCTTCAATATATTTATTAAATTAATTATTATTGAATGTCATAGATACTCAAAATTATGCTTTATTTATTTTTATTCATATAATGATAACCATAATTTAATTGAATCATTAAATAGAGATTTGTATATTATTTTTGTATATTAATTAAATGATTTGCTTCATTAATGATTGTAATGAATATTATGAATTTCTAAGAAAGCAGACTGATTTATTAAGGATTAGTTTAAGAGTGTAATTATATAAATAATGCTTGAATAATTTATTTGATTTATAATGATCATGCACTTTTGGTTTTATAATAATTTCCTTCATTGACATCTCCATCATATTCATCATAATATGTTAGACCTATTTTTAAGATTAATTATTACCAGATTACAATACAGTTGCTGCATATGTTGGGACTCCTAGTAAAACTGGGAAATACATAAATTGAACTGGGATCAATATAAGCATTCCTGCTCCAAAAAATGAATTCTTTACATTCCAAAAGATTCTTCTAATCATATAAAATTAAATATTTTAATTAATATATTATTATTTAATCAATACTACTTTGGATTGTTTCTCATTAAATATTATCTATAAAATATAAGTTCACTTTAAATACCCTAAATAAATGCAAGGATTAAATCGTTCTCTTTCTTCAGGATCAATCTTTTCAGGATTCTGTATCATTGTTTCTAATTCCTTTGATAATTCTTCTATTCCATCCATTAACAATGGCAATAATGTTTATTGTATTTCTTTATATTTCTAAAATTAAAATCTATTTTTCTACATCCTCCCCTTCAGGTATTTTACTTAATTCTCGTTTGATAACCTCTAAAGGTACTGTATAATTTGGATCTTATAGTAACTGTTTAACATTCTTTGACATTATTAAAAATAAATAAATATAATAGAAATAAATCATTAACAAAACATGACTTTATTTCTAATCCATCATTTTTTGAATCTAATAAATTGATATATTATTATTTAAATTTCTTAAAATCTTAAGAATAATAAAAAAATTAATTCTTCAATTTATGATTATTATTATTCAATTTGAATATACATTTATAATTATATATATATTAACAAAAAATTGAATAATAAATTATGAATTCAAAATATTTTGAATAAATTAAATAATACTAATATTTATGATATATATATTCACACATTTTAATTCTCTTCAATTAAATCTTCATCAAATTCTCTATATCCCAATCCCCTATCAACCATTTTTTATCCATATGCCCTTGCTGATTATTATTATTCTTTTGTATGATCCTTTTTTTTAGAGAAATGATGTTTATTCTTATATATAAAATATATGATGGCAGCAAATATACAAATTAACATAAAGTCCCAAATCTAAATTATAAAATGAAATTTACATTTCTGAATTTCCAAAATTTAAAACCAGGACATAATAGTTTAACTGGATTATATTCAACTCCACCTTAACATTTATTACCTGCAACTCTACGATAACCTCTAGTAACTTCATAATAATCTTCACAATTTTCAGGAGCCTCAAAATTTTATTCATAAAGTTCATATGGAATACATTTACCATTTATATCTGAATTTTCTCTATGGAAATTAAGATCACATTCCCAATCTTCTTCAGTACATTAACAATATTAAACTGAATGTTATCTTTATAAATCTTCTCCATTAAAACATTTAGCATCCCTTTTTCTTCTCACATATTCTACTCTCATTCCCATTAAACAATCTTAATTCATCTTACCTGTAGGTGACCATAACTCATAATCACTATTCTCACTTGATGGCTAATCTTCTCCAATACATTCTCTTCCATGAATTTAAGAAAAATCAATCTTAACAATATTACCTTATTCTATATTTTCTTCATTTATGTATACATCAGATGTACCATAAATAATAAATCTAGTACCAATATTAGATGGTTCAGTTATGATATTAGTAATCTCAATAGCTTATTCACTAAATTAAAATACTTCCCATGTTAATCCTTCATTCCATGAATATTTCAATACTTTTGTAGCTTATTGATCACTAGCTAATACTATAACACCTCCATGATCCCCTATTTCATAAATATGTGATCCTTTGGCTATTTCAAACCATGTTAAACCTCCATCTCTTGACATATAAGTATTAACTTAATCAGGTCTGTAACTTAAATATTTTCCAATATTTCCTGTCCCTAATATTAATCCAATAGAATTCTTTGTAGAATAGAATGGACCAAATTACATTTTTGTTGAAACTGAATGTAAATGTAAAGAACATGTTTTAGAATCACATTATAATTTTTTACCTTCAGAATCAACAACAGGTGGTGTCAATGGTTACCATCTACTTCCTTTATCAAATGTAATTTTAGTTTATTTAAATTTACTTAAATCACTTTCCTTTATTCTTGGAGAGTCTTCATCAATTTCAGATTAATATAATTCTGCTTATTCTGATGCATAAACATTTGCTATATAAATTCCCTCCAAACCTAATACTCTTTCAAAATCACATTATCCTTCTTCTGTTCTCACTGTATAATTTAATGAAATTCTATATCTGGAGGCAGTTGAATCTGATATATAAGTTGTACCCATTATCGAACTGGGCTTTAGATGATTAATATTAATAAAGGCTCCATATTAAGAATCAACTATAGTATAACTATGATCTTTAAGTATGTCTGGCATTTATACATATCTGAAATTGTATTCATATTGATCAGATTCTGATACTAATAATGTTACTTCTTAATTGGAAGAATTCATAACTTAAGCTACAAATATGTGATTAGGGGTTAATTGGAATTTATTACCTTAATTAACTAACATCGTTTTTGTTTTCATAAAATCATCACTATAAAATAAATGTGTTTTCATATTCCATCCTGAAAATTATTAATGTCCTTTTCCATTTGGCTCATATGTAATCATTATTCTCTCTTCTGGAATTACATCATTGTTTGGACTTTTAAATCCCCAAGAATATTAATTTACATATTTAGCTATAACTTCCCAATTTAAACCCATATCTTAACTAATCATGAGATCCTTAGTTACAAAACAATCTTTTTATTTCATTTGACATTTTGACCATGAAGATGCTAATATCCAATCTTTACGCTTAGGATGAAATTGAAATTCTCTCATTTATCTGCCTGTATAAATTGCATTTATTGTTTATCCACAATCAGGAGATATCCAATTAACAAATTCTGTTCCTAAGAATATAATTAATTGTGGGTCTATTGGACTTTTTTATATTTTATTTACTACTCCTACTTTTTCATTTTCATCTTATAATACAAGCAATCCTTTTCTATGAAATACTTCTGCCAATTTCTACCAATCATCACCATTATTTTAACTTAAATAGATTGTTCCTTTTGAACTCATAACTAAGATCTAATATTAATTATATGATTGATTGAATACATTGTCATTAGATTAATTATGAGCACCACACCATACGATATCTATTATAGCACTATCCATATTTGATATACTAACATCTATTGCGTTCACAATACTAAACAATAAAAAATTAAGCATATGACAAGTTATCTTATATTATATAATTCATTCATTTATTTTTCATATGTGAAGAATATAGCTTTGCAGTAAATTAAGTAAGTTAATCAATCTATATTTGAATATTACTTTGTTCTCTTTCTATCATCTATCTAAAATTAATAATAAATAGAATAAAATACATATATTCCTCTGCCTCTTATACACTTCTTTATTTCAAAAGATCAATTCGTTCCAAATTTTACAATTGATTCTTTAATTGTTATGTTAATTTCTTATGTTCCTAATCCTTAGTTGGTTTTGTTAATTTAACTAAGAATTATTCCATTTTTTCAGTGTCTCTTGAAGATTAATCCAAATCAGGAATAATAACACCTGGTTTATTTAATAATGTATTCCATTCAATACCTATTAAATAATAATAATAATGAAATTTAAAACCTTTAAAGAATTTATGCTATTTAATTTCATCAATAGAAACATGACCAATCCTCTTCTTGTAATCAGATTCTAATAAACGTGTAAGAAGATCATAAGAATCATATGAAATACATTCTACTCCATCATCTCCTAATTTAGGCCATTCAATTCTTAAATTAAGAATGTTCTCAAATATCTTCTCAACAGTATCATCATTAAATGGTGCAATACCACATAACATTTCATACATAATAACACCTAAACTCCAATAATCTGCTGAATAATTAGTTACTGAAACACCTTAAATAATTTCAGGTGCAATATAATCAGGAGTACCAATAATTCTAAATTAAAAAATATATAAAAATTACTTTTTATTTCCACTATTTTTAGATTCAATAAAAATTGATTCAGCCTTTTTTATATGTTCATAAAATTCTGATGAATCATTAAATTACTATTAAATACAATCTGGTAATTATTAACTCTCTCTTTTCATTTTTAATCTACTATTCAAACCTTTTTCAGATAATCCAAAATCAGCCAATTTTGCATGTCCTTAAGAATCTAATAAAATATTTTCTGGTTTTAAATCTCTATGTACAATATTTTGATTTCTCAAATACTCTAAAGCTAATACTATTTCAGCCATATAATGTCTAACATAAAATTCATCTAATGCTGTATAAGTTTTCAAAATACTAGCTAAATCACCACCTACCATATATTCTTAAACAAAACATAAATAATGTTCATGAACAAATGAGAAGTATGCCTTAACAACAAAGTGACTATTGAGTATTTCAAATATATTTCTTTCTGCCTTTAATTATTCTAAAAAAGCTTCTAAATTCTATTAGTAATTATTTAATTAATACTCGTTAAGCACAATCTATAATCTTTAATGCATACATATCTCCTGATCCTTTCTTTTTCACTTAAAAAACCCATCCATAAGCTCCCTTACCCAAAGGCTTAATAAATTCAAAATCCTTAATACCAACATTCTTCTACTCAATTGATACATTAGAATTAGTTTTGATCATATCAGAATCAGAATGATAACCTTTATCAATATTAACTGGATCAATCTATTCTTAAATTAATTAAGGACTATTATTTGAAGCATTACTACTGAATTTGCTTTTCTTATTTACTTAAACTTATTATTAAGAAGAGGATGTTGGAGTGCTTGCTTATTAAATATCTTAAGAATGAAAATTAGAGACTCGTTTCTTCTTTTATTTAATTTTAAGTTATCTTCTGAGTTGATTAGAAGCATTAGATTTACTAGATTCTTCTTCTGAAGATGAATTATTATGCTCTTCTTTAATTGATGGTACTTTATTGTCTCCAATATCAGAATCAAAAGAGAATGGCTATTTAACACTATCAGAATCTGTATGATCATTTATAAAACCTGCTGTATATGGTTTATTTGAAATTCTTGGACTGTCACAACCTTCATTAACTTTAAATATTGAAGTATTCATTTTAAATTCTCTTCTTCTTGGAATGATAGGTTAATTCTATTTTTCTCCTTCTTCTTATTCAAATATAGGATCAACAACACGATTTCTTGGAGATTGAGATACTTAAGAAAATTTAGATTAGCGAAATGATAGTGAATTTTATTTTGCAAAGGATTTTTTCATAGCTTAGATTTTGGATAATTAGAGAGTCATATCATATTATTAATGATGACCTTCTTATTTTTTGAAATATTCCATTCTATCAAGGATACTTTTATGAACTCGTGTAATTATAGTCTTAGCTTCATTACTCTCAATATAATTGCCTGCATTGGATAAATCATTAAGGATTACCAGATTTTCTATTTAGTCAGATAATTCTTACACTTAGGATCATCATTAGATTAATTGACTATTTTATCAGCATAATTTATAATGATAGTCATAGCATTATTAATATTGATTAATTCTTATTCATTTTCTTGATCATCATTATTAAAAGTCTGGGTTCTTCTGAATTTATTATTATTTTTTTATACTTTCTTATTTTTACTAACTATTATCAAATCTTACTTTATTAAAGCTTATTTTACTTATGCATTTCTTTTTTCTTAATAAGCTGCTTCACAAAGATTAGCCATTTCTAAATTTAATTCTAATATTCTTTTCTTTGCCTCTGCAGATTTTTGACAATCTTCACAATGTATTTTCATTTCAATAGCTTGTACTTTCTTTTCACATATTCTACAAATCAATAATTCAAATTATTTTTTATCCCATTTCTTCATATCAATCTTCATTACTCTAAAAATACTAAACATTTCTACTGCTAAATATTCTTCATTTTAATTGATGCCCATTTATATTAGAATGATGTATTATTCTTACTAATCCATTCACCTTCCAACATATGTAATGCTATTCGTAATTTATTTGACAATATTCTAATCGATCTATAAACAAGATATCATTAAATTGTTACTTTGTTGACATCTTCTTTGTAAAAGATTTCTTCATTTTTACTACTTCTAAACGTTGAACATCTTCTATTATATTCTAAACCTTAAGATCCATTTCTCCATAATGATCGTAATTTTATTGGCTAAAGTATTCTTAACAAGATTTTAAGGTTAATACTATTTTTTGTATAGAATCTCTCTATTGAATTGTATTTCCCAAATAATACATACTGTTGTTATTTAATGATATTGTGTTAAGATATCTATTATTTCCTTCACACTTGAGGAATCAGGGTTTAATTATTATATTCTATGCTCAATTTGGTCCATTAAAATATATAATAAATAATCACTATTGCTAAACTTTCTTCATTCGCACTTAAATTCTATGCTACATTTACTCTTCCTCTTCCTAACACTTTTATTACATCTATCTTATCAGTAATTGCTTCTAGTATTTGTAATCTACCTAAAATTAGCATATTATTCACCAGTCTCCAATTTATCCAATGCCATCTAAGCCTAAGATCTATATTTCTAAAGACGATCATTTAAACTACATTTCTCATCTCCTCGTACATTCATCTTATTATAACTCTCCTTCAGAATATTATGATCATTGAATTTCTTCACCAAACAAAATGGACTCCCATAACTATTAGAAAAACAATTCTTTTGTTTGCATTTCTAAATAAAATCTAATCAATCAATTTTCTATACTGCACCTTTCGATTCCTCATACTTATGTATTCTCTCACTTGCCATCAAATTTTAACTACTTTTTAATTATAAATTATAACTTAATCTCTATTATTATTTTCTATCTAATAGAGAATTTAAAAATATTGACTTAAAAAGATTTATATTACATCAAGAGTAATAAAAACTATGACTATTTTCGATTTCATATTTATTATGTTTTAGATATTTTACTTGATGAATTGAAGTATTCAATTTTTTTATATATTATAAGAATTATTATAAATAAATAGAAAAAAAGAGATTGTTAATTGATTTCAAGACATTTTCTAAAAGTTCTTTAAATATTAATAGTCTATTGGACAAATTGATTTTCTTAATTTAATTATTATTTTCTATAAATTAAATAATAATTAATATATGAATTTCATCAAAACATCAAAAAGAAAATAAAAATTGATTATCATTTAAATAGTTACAATTCTTCTGTCATTTATTCAAATTACTCCAAATATTTGATATTATCTATAAATAGGGTAGAATCTGAATCTACTGAACTAGGATTAATCTTTATTATCTTTATCAATGCTTTGATGTCATATGAAGGTATAAGAGTATTCTTACATTGTATATATGATTTAATATAATATAGAGGAAAGTGTATTTCTTCAGATAAATCTTATCCTTCTTTAGGGAATTGCAATCTCCTTTCCACTTCTTTTATGTAAAGTTCATCAAGATAATATTCATTCAATAGATTTTTTACTTGAATAACAAGCACATTATTTATATATGGTTATAAGATTTATTATCTGAATAATTCAGCTTTTACATCTTTAATCCTTGCATGCAGAGGTAATCCTACATATTCTCCAACTAAATAAGGGAATAAACCATTTTTAACTGCATATATGAATGATTCACTTTCAAATTTCTAATTAGTCAAGAATTTATTATAAGCTGGACTTTTTAATAGTTTCATCATAATTCCCTTAACAACATTAGAATAAAAGGTATTATCAAATAATTTAGTTATAAATGGTATTGGTTTTTATAATAGATAACGATATTCTTCAAATTGATTAAGAGCTCTTTCTATAAAAATAAAATTATATTTAGCTTTTATTAACACTTAAGAGATTGCATATTTAATATAGAATATTTCTAAATAAGTAATCTATTATGTTGTAAAGAATGCTATAATTTGTTCAAAATCAAGTGTACTTTCATAATAAACTCCTTTGAATAATTCAAGCATAATTGCTTTGAATTATATAACACTAGAATTTTAAAAGAATAATTTCATAATATCTTAAGCTAAGAGATAATCAACTACATTTTCTGAGAATTCATCTGCTTACATTTTATCAATCCTTACTACATTATTACCTCTTTCTCTTTCCCATTTATTAGTAAAAGAGATTTCATCAAAAGAGATCTTTTTAGGTTTTGGTTTTCTTACAAAATATCTACTTAAATTAATTTCATTATATGGCTATTATAATTATGGTAAATGAGTTAAATTTGATTATTGTTCTTATGAATTTTTTTAAAATTATACTAAATCCTTAATGGTGATGTTTTTGCTTTAATTTTCAATCCTTTAATTTTTATATAAACCAATAAAAAAGCTTTGTTATTATGGTATTTCAAGATTGGCTTAGGATTAATGTTATTATTTTTTTGGTACAGAGTTTGATTGATGATTAACAATTGATTATTAGATATTAGTATTTATTTGTTCAATAGATTCTTGTTTAAAATGTGAATATTGCTCTTTCAATACAGATGATTGTCTTTTTCTCATTCGATTAGTGGATTATTAATGATCAGATTATAATGAAGGAAGAAGAGGATTCAGATAAATCTTTCTGACAGCTGCACTTAACTTATCATTAGATCTATGTTTCAATTTAGATCTCTCATCCAAATATCTCTAATATTTCTCAACTACTATTTTATACTCTTGACTTGTGGTTCCATTATTATGAGATTATAACATATTAATAATATCATAATTTGCATCTTCTCACTTATTTATTTATGATTTGTGCCAATTTCACTAATTCAGACACATAATTCTTAGACAATTATTATACTTCACTTTATGTACTCCCTTCGACTCTATTTCTAATATCAATAAGTTCTTTTAATGGCAACTTATCTATTACACTTGTTTTAAGTGGTTAAGAAATGACAGGCTTTTCTATAAAGCTTGAAGTGAATTTTCCTGTTGATTGTTATTTAGTATCTAATTTAGTTTGGGAGGCAAATCTATTGGAAATATGCAAAGTCATTCCAACTGATCTTTAAGATAATCTGCTCTATGGTGGATCAGCAAATTATTCTATTTTGCATTAAATACTAGACCTTAAAGATCCATCATGTTTTAATATATTATGTGAACTGTCTTTATATGAAGACATCTTTTTAAAAATATCTTCAAATGATGGAATACTAAACTTAATCTTTTCTTATACCTTCCCCTCAATTCTTAAACCTAAGAGGATTTAACAGTTTTTGGAGCAGTACCCTTTACGTATGTCTATTGTTCTTAATTGCCTATTTGTTGCATCTTTGAATAGACACTCTCTCGAAATTTTCCTAGATTAAACTCTGATTCATCATTTTTAGTTAATGATGAATATCTTAACTAATTCTCAGATTAACGATGGGAGTTTCTCTTTAACATCTTAACGATTTTTATAATAAATTATATTATTAATATAGTCAAACTAATACAAAAGATTTTGCTTTCTAAGTAATGCATAATTCAATATTCAACTAAATAAAGTTGTCTTTCTATTACTTTCCCATTATTTTTTTACCATTTATCTAATCTCTTTCTAATTCAGTTATTCATATTCCAATTTTATTTTCCAATAAGTTTCTTCATAGAATTTACTATATGGTGATTTATCTCTCTTCTTTGGAGTATTCACTTTTTCTATTATTGGATCTGTAATTTCTTAATCATCATTATTATTATCAATTTATTTCATAATTTTAGTAGTAGATGGTTTTTAGTTTGATTTAAAGAATTATGTGATCTTTGTTTATGAAGATTCAATCTTATTAATTTTCCTTTACATGAATTCCATTACTATCATTTTATCTTTATAAGATTATAAATCAAGCCATAAAGTCATTGCCTTTTCCCTCAAATTTCTTTATGGGGTACCATATTTAGTTTCATAACTAATATTTAATAAGATAATGTACTATTTGATAGCCATTTTCAAAAATTTATCTAATCCCTTATCATCTTAAACTTCCTCAATACACATTTAAATTAAAAATAGCGGAAAAAAATAATTATTATATAAATTCATTTTAGTAATTTATTTAAATGTAGTCCTAATTAAGTAGGTTATCTTATAAATATAAAAAAAAATACCTTAAATAATATTCCCAATAAGTAATTCTTCCTGTTTAATCTATATCATACTCTAAAAAATAGCTATTTAAGTTTAATATAATTATAATACTTTCTTGTAAATTATCTATCTCTTGTTTATTAAAGCATCTAATGTTCTGTAAAATATCCTTAATTATTTGTGTCTAATTTCATGAATATTGATCTATCTTCTTTTTAACAAACAAAATCAAGAAATTATCCCATTTCATTTACATCAATAAAACCATCATTTTATTTGTCTATGAACAAAAACATTTCTTATAAATCTGGTATTTCAGCATCTATTTCATTATAAAATGCTTCCATTTTATATTAAAAGAAATTCTTGCTTATTTTTGTTAAAGATGTCTCCATAAAAATAAATCCAAATATTTATTCTGCACTAAATTTCTACAAAGCATAATATTTAGGTTAACAAATGAAACTTTGACAAGGTATTGCAAAATTAAAATCTTTACTATCAGGATCTGTATCTTAAGATATTGCTCTATGTTTCTTTAAGAAATCAGGTGCTGTAAATAGATCAGCATATTTCCTAACAATTTCTTCTTCAGTCCATTTTTTCTATTTATGAGATTTCTTTATTGTTTCATCAAATCTTTATACTTCTTTAAAGAACCCTCCACTACTTGTGTGGAATTTTTAATTTTAAGATAATCTATCTTATTATTATTTATGTGGAGTAGTCCTAATTTCTTAATTTTATTATACATTAATAAATGTTATTATTTATCAGATGGATTAATACATAATAGTTATTTGCTTAATGATCTTGGATTATTGTTTTTAATACTATTCTATCTAGATTATTATTTGCTTTTAGCTTAAGGAGATCCATTTCTTAAATTTTCCTTTGATTGTTATTATTTCTTTTAAAGAATACGTACCTATTTATTTTATTACAAAAATTTCCGTAAATCCATATATAATCTTCTTTGGTCTCTATGGATTATAATTTTATACCATTTTTCTTCTTATATTGAAATAGGATTGAAATGATATCTGGATTATTTTAATGGGCACATTATCTCAAATAGAGTCGATCATCCTTGGGAATTTCTAAGATAGAATGTCATATTCTACATATGCATTTCTCAATTAAATTAAAGTAATCATTAGTCTGACTATTGGGTCTATTCATTTAGCTGTTATAATTAATTATAATAGTAAATCAATTATTAAATTTCTAATTAAAGGAATCATTATAATATTTAACAAATTTTCCATCATTTGACTATGCTCTCTATCTGAAACTATCTTATTGTGATTTTATGAATTTTGATTCTTCATGACGACTTTTCAAAGGACGAGAGAAATCTATCTTAATTTTCTTTATGAATTATTGTATTGTTAATTAAGAGGGTTAAAATTAAGATTGATTGAGATTCAAATTATTTTCTTTATTTCTTTTATTAGATAGAATTCTGCTCCAATTACTATTGCTAATCTTATTTTAAATATAATTTAACTAACTAAATATGAGTAATAATTTACCTAAATTTTTTATTGTCTTTAGAGTCTTACTTAAGTAATTTAGAAATCTCTTTAAATGATTAATTATTATTGTTATTATTATATTAATTTAATTTATTAAGAGTTTCCTTCATTGATTTTAATGGTTATTTTTATTATGGTTTAATTCTGTATTCTTCAAAAGTATCAAATTTTTCAGATCCTTGACTTTAAAAAGTGTTATCTCTTGCACTATATTATAAACTACTTCTTTTAGTTTCTTCAATAACTTTTATTTCTTAAGGAATAGTTAATTATTTAGGTGAATTATAAGATTTCAATTCTTAAATTGTATCCTATTGATTGTTCTCTTAACTAAATATTGAACAATCAAAATTGCTAGGTAATATTAATACAGCATGTTTGACTCCATTAAATGATTGATTCTTTCTCATAATTGGTGGAAGAATTACCAAACTTTTAGCTCCTTCTTTACCAAAACCATCTATATAATAATATTCATTTTTTTGATATGGAACTATTTCGTAAATCACTCTACTAAAACCTATATTAATCTCTTAATCACTAAGAATTATATACGATAACAATAACCAATATTATTTCATCCATTCAATCAAATCATCATTATCCTCCTCTATAAATTCATCTATGTTTTTTATATTCAATTTTAAATGTGATTTTAATTTGTTTATTGTTGTATCATTGAAACCCAAAACACTTTAGTAATTATCTTAATATAACTTTTATAAAAGACTAAATAATCCTTAACAATTTATTCCTAGTATTGAAGCAACTTGTAAAGTCTTCTTATTAAGTTCTTCTCTAATCACTTATTCTAAAAAGAGACAACTTTATTAAACTACCTATACTAGTAATTTAGGTTAATCAAATAGATAACCAAAAGCTGATGGAAGTGTTTCTTTGACCATATTTTCATATTTTAATTTAAATTCACTTGGCAACATAAATTTAGAAGATGTATTTGTTATATTAACAGAACAATGAACTAAACTCTCTTGTAATTATTTTATCTATTGTTAAAGTCTTAAATTTTCAATTCTAAATTTATTCATATCTGATTCTAAAATTTCTAACATAGCAATTGTTTCATCTGTTTGTATTTACTAACACTAATTTTTCTTAGGTTTTTTGCGAAATGAATTAGCAATTGACTCCATCTCATCTAAACTTATCATTATTCAAAATATATTGCTGTTATATAAATATTAAAATTATGTAAATATTTTAATATAATATTAATTGTGTCATATCACTAAAGAGAGAAATGTTTATTATCAAAATTATAACAATTTTAATTTATAGTTTCTTAATCTATTATTTCTATTATCTTGATAAATATAGAGGTTTTCATATATTCTTATTAGAATTCTGTCGATATCTTTAGTTTTTATATAATTATATATAATAGAATAGTCAAATTATTGGTAAAATGAAGAATATATAAAATTATCAAGCATAAATAATAATAATTTGATAATTAAATGTATTATGATGAAGACTTAGGTCCTTGGTGCAGTGATGATTATAGACCTCGTTCACGATATCATAGTTAAATGACTGTACCATTACATAAAGAAAAGACAGAAATAAAAGAAATTCATCAAACTATACATTCAATATTAACAGCAAAGAAAAGTGAATTACCTAAGTTAAAATTGAATAGTATATCACCAAGACAAGTAATAAAATAACAATATATCAACAAATTCATAACAATTAAAGAATCTTCAAATGAAAAACATTTTTTGCCATAACTTTCATTAATAAAAATGAAACCCCAAAACACAAAACCAAAGAATCGAAACAAAGACATACATGTGATATTTGAAATAGAAAAAATTATTCGTCGAAATCATGGTTACCTTCCAAATCATAAATACACTACTTCTACTATAATTTGATCATATATTATCATTTTTTCCTTACAATGCCTCTAACTTAGCTCTAAAGCGTGGTAGTTTTTGGATCAAATAATTATTTTTTTCAATTATCATACGATCTAAAGGTTACTCATTGATTGTGCCCCTCCTTTTGTGTTGCATATGTTTATAAAATTGTTTAATCTATAAAGCAATTTATTCTTCTCTTTCGTCTCGTTTTTGAAGATATTGAATTTATTATTTATTGTCATGCATCTTCAAGGTTTTCTTAAATGGATCAAAATTGTATTATTAAATTAGTAAATCAAAGAACTTCTGATCTCCCAACTAACTATAAGGATTAATTATATTACTTTGCCAGCCTTCTAAATTAACAGAAAGTCTAAAAAGTTATTTTTATTTAGACGACTCAATTCTCCTTTTATTGTTGGATTGATCTAAGGTATAAAATCCTTGATTTTGAATGGTTCTATTTACTTTGTTTCAATTTGGGTTGATTTTATATTATAATCTGGGATTTGTTTACCACTTCCTGACAAAGCAAAATCCATTTTCTTTAGAGTCAACTCATTATCACAATGGGAAAGCAAACGATGAGTCATTTTTCTTGCTGTTGGCTTAAACTAATCACCATAACGGGTTGGATCAGATTTAGAAATTTAGCTCACTGAATACATATATAATAAAATAAGAAAATGGAATAATAATATTAAGGTAGTTGTCATTGCCAAAAGGTTAAATTTGAATTCTCAGGACCCCTTGAGATGGAAGTAATCAGATGTCATTGCTCAATCTGCAAAATGAAGCAAAATCATCATGTGTTGATAAACAATTCCAATTTTAAATTGCTTACAAGTATGGAAGAACTTACACTCTATACTTTCAATACAAAGCAAGTATGATTAACCAAATTTTATATACAAGGCTAAACATTACTTTTGTAAAACTTGTGGAGTATAAGCCTTTTTTTATCCCAGATTCAACCCTAATATGATTGCTGTAACCATTTATTGTGTTTAATTACCTCCTAATGTTAAGTTAACATATGTGACATAGGGACTTGAATAATCAATTAAAGAAACAATTAAACAATGAAATTAATTATATTTTCTTATGAATCAACAATGTCCTCATTGCCGAAGAAGAATTCCAGCCTTTTCTTCTGTTGTCAAACCTAAAGGTTAAAAGAAATAAAATGTAACACAAACACTCAAAAACATTTCCTTATATGACTTACTTGAAGAATTTGCAAAAATTAGAAATGAATAGCACTTCGACTTAATGTAGTTCTTGTAAGAGAAAATAAAAAAACCAGAAATTAGTAAGGATAACCATCCTGTTACATAAAGAAAGAAATGGGATTTGCCTTTGAAGTGATGATTTTTTTTTTTCCATATTATTTTCTGTTAATTTATAAACTTATATTAATCACTGTTATCTTCTTCTTAAGTTTGCTTTCACTTATAAAAATCCACTATAAGTAGCATCCAAAAGTGGATCATCCTTTATATATTTCAAATCTTCCACTTTAAACTCTTAAATTTATAATAAAAAATATTAACCTTTTGAAGATTATTTTGATTGTTATTTCCTATTCTTTTGATTTCCATAAAGTAATTCTTAAACTTCCTTCTCCACTTCTTCTTTTCTAGAAACTCTCTCACTAGATTTCTATTGTACTACTTCTGAATTAGAATGCATTTCTTAAGTAATAGGTTATTCTATTGAATGTTAGAGCATGCTTGGTATGATATCCTATTTGTTCTTTTCCCAATCCAAATAAACTCTCTCGAATTCATAAGGTGATAACTCTGCTTATATCATAATATAATATTATACCTTGAGGAGAATCATTTGGAACTGTGAAATGACCTTTCTTTATTTCTAACTCTCTCTTTATATTCTCTAAAATTTCTTATTTTCTTATGTTATGTTATTCTTCATAATTTTTAAATTAATCATTATTGTTTGTTTATGATTTTTCAGTAACTTTTTTCAAAAATTCTTCATATTAAGAGCTATCATTTTTATTATCTCTTTCTGGACGAGTTAACAATTTCTCGCTTTCTTTTTTAAGATCATCAACATTAATGACTTGCTTCTTACCATTGTTATCAACAACTTCTACTCCTCCTTTTAATCCTAATGCTTTCTTTAGGTCTTCAATTCCTTATTCAATCTTAGGTTCTACTTTATTAAAAGACTCTTTCTTTACATCTACTATTGGTAATTTCTAATAGTGTTTTTTATCCTCTTCTTTTAAGGTCTCATCTACTACATCATTTAGTAGATTGTTAAAATTGTTTATGGCTTTTTAAGCAGGTCTTTCTGGATCTTTAGCTACATTTTCTTCGATAACAAGACTAGGAGATTTTCTTCGATTGTGTGATTCTTATATTTCTTATTTTATTTCTTATTTTAATTCTTCTTTGAGTTCTTATTTTAATTATTCCTTCAAATCTTTCTTTAATTCTTCTTAATTAACAGGATGCTCAATTTTTAGAGATTTATCTTCATGCTATATTTCAATTGATCTATCAGTTTATTTATTATTACTTTCTTAAGGATTATGAGAAATTGTAATTGAATGTTAAATTTTTTATTTATGTTTCTTACTAGATATAGAATCTTATTATAATTATTATTGTTATTATTATTATTATTATTATTACTATTATTATTACTATTATTATTACTATTCTTATTATTATTATTATTATTATTATTATTATTATTATTATTATTATTATTATTATGATTATTATTCAGCATCATTTTTAGCAGGTTATTAAATTTCGAAATTGTCTCCGTAATCATAATCTTATTCACTTAATTAAGGTTAATCATCTTATTGATTTCCTACATCTACAATGATATCTATTTCATTTTCGTCTTTAGGAGTTTCTGAATAGATGTCATCTACCTATTGGATATCAGATTACTATTCTTATTACTAAATCTCATCCTATAACTATGGTTTAAATTAATCTGCTTTCATAACAACAAAATCTTATTCTTATTATTATTATTATTATTATTATTATTATCCATTATCACTTTTTTATTATTCTTAAATCTCTTAATTTTATTATTCTTATTCAGAAATATCATAATCTGATTCTAATGAGCTTTCAACTACATTTTAATTCTATTATTCATTGGATTCATTATCAGATTCATCATAATATTATGGTGCCTAATCGTAAGATTCTCCAATAGCTTAACTATCCTTAACTAAATTATCTATGGTTAGATATTAATCCTGAGGTTCAGCATCATCATAAGTTTCAACTTGTTGAGCTGAATCTTCTGTGGATTATTCATTAACTAAAAATTGATCTTCAGATAATTATTCTTAGTTATTTTCTTATTCTGGAACATCAAATGCTTATTCAACTTCTTATTATTCTTATAATTATTCATCTTAATTTTCAGGTTACTCTATTTCAATTGAATTATTTTGATCATCTTCAAATCCTTAATAGTAAATTTATTGATCCTCTTAAATTTAAGGTTCATCTTCTTATGGTAAATCATTGCTTTATTCATCATAAGTAGCTTCATAAATCTAACTATTGTCATTTACAACGATGTAGTCATTATTTTATTTTGTGTCTACATTTTCTTATTTGATATTACCAATAGTATTAGCTAATATTTCAAGTTCCTTTTGGAATTCATCAAAAGAAATATTAATTTCATCTTCACTCTAATTTTCAACATTAGCAGTAGATGTTTCTTCAGCAGTAACAGCAACATCAGTTGATAATAATTAATATTATTATGAATCATCAATAGATTCTAATGTAGTATCAACAAGATCATCATCTTTAGCCTCAACAATTTTGTAATTAGTTTCTTCATCTGTATTATCATCATTTAATTTGATATCTTCAATTTAAATGGTTTATTATTCCTATTGTTATTCATCATCATAAATAAAATTAACATTTTCAATATTTGGTTCTACTACTTCTAAATAATCACCAAGTTATTTGACTTCTTTTTCTGGTTCTGGTTCAATTTGACTTTATTCATAATCTTCATCTTTTAACACAATAACTTATTCATTATTTTCAGGAACATCTAATCTATCAATAATTAAAGAATATTATTTATCCCCCTCAACTACAGAATCTAAAGTATTACTATCAACAGAGTCTAGTTTAAAATCTTTAATAACATTATTTAATTTATCTTTTAATCTTTATTTTTCTCTTAAGAAATCAGACTTCTTAGGTTTTCTAATAAATGCTTCACCTTCATCTGTTGTTAATCCAATTTCAATAGCACCTTCTTCTTTTGTTGTTTCTTATTCCTAAACATAATCTTCTTAAGGTTCTACTTCAACCTATTCTTGAGGTTATTCATTTTATTAAACTTCTTCAACTTAAGGTTAAACTTATTCTGGAATGACTTCAACTTCAGGTTAAACTTATTCAGGAATGACTTCAACTTGACCAGATTGATATATTTCTAATTCTTAATGATCTTCATCTAATTTAATGGAAGCATCAATAATTTATATATCTTCTTCTCCAATTTGAGATGTAGTTTAAACCTATTATTCTTATGATTACATTTCCTAATCAACTTATTCCTATAATGAATTTTCAGAGATCATAAGTTTATCATCATCTTTGATATCTTATGTTATTAACTATTACTCTGGATTGACTCCACTGTCATTTAAGTAGATGATGGGGGGCTATTATTCTTCCTAAGGTTATTCAATTTATATATCCTTTTAATCATCATAAGCAGAATTAACATCCAAACTTATTTAATCTTCTACAACTTTAGGTTCTTCACTTTCATTTTCTAATTTGCCAACTTCCTTCTCTAAATTATTAGCCTATTCCATAATATCTAATTTTGCTTATTATCTTTCATTTCTACTTTTATTCTTTAATTATTTAGCTTCTTCTTTTAATTCTTATGCAAATTTAATCATTTCATCAATATCTTATTCTTTCTTAAGAGAATCATCATTAATTTAAGTTACTTTTTATTAAGGTTCTGAAAAAGCATCTGGATCTACAGAAATATCTTCAGATAATTCTTTTATTTCACTATTTATATTATTCTCTTGAATTTCTTCTTAAATTTATTCTGTATTATTTTATTAGATCTATTCTGTATTATCCTATTTATCATTTAATATCTATTCTGTGTTATCTTATTATATTTATTCTGTATTATCTTATTATAACTATTCTGTATTATCTTATTATATCTATTCTGTATTATCTTATACTATTTAAGCTGTATTATCTTATACTATTTATTCTGTATTATCTTATTAAATTTATTCTGTATTATCCTCTTATACTTATTAATCTGTACTTATGTCATCCAAATTTGCTTCTGAAATCTTCACATTTTCAATTTTAACTTCATCTGCATGAACAACGACATCGTCAGTTGATGTAGTGTCCTCAATTGGTTAAACATCTGATTAAGTTGATAATTAATCATTTTGGATGTCTATAGCATCCTATTATTGAGGAATATCCTCAGCATTAATTGAAGAAATAGTAGTATCATCTAATTTTATATCTTCAATTTAGATTTCTTATTGTGATTCCTCCTATTAATTTACATTATCATTGTCAAAACTATCAAATGTAACATCCTCTTATTGGAGTACTTAATCATTATTATTGATTACAACCTCAGATGATAAATTAGAAATATCTTAATCTTAATTTTATTAATCAATTTATTCTGTTTATTCTGTTTATACTTAATCATCTTATTAATTATCAATAACTTATTATTATTCTTCTGAGTTTTATAATGATTCATTTTTTGGTTCAATAATTTGAACCTCATCAGTAGTCAACTTAATTTCTTATGAATCCTCATTATTTGTCAATTCTTCAGTTACTAATTTCACATCTTCAATCTATTCTTATTAATTATTTTCTAGTTGTTATTAAGATGATTCTATAGATTATTACTAATCATCAAGATTAATAGTTTGAGATTATTAATTTTGTTACTCAGATTCAATATCTAATGTGATATCTTCTAATTAATTAGATGCATCTTCAGTTATTTACTGTTAGGTCAATTAATCAACATTTGAAGAATCTTCTAATTTAATATCTTCTAATTAATTATTATTAGAAACTAAATTATTATCAATATTGTCTAGATTAATATCTTCAGCAATTAATTTCTAATCAATATTTGATTATGATTCTTAATCATCCAATTTAAATATTTCTATTGATTCTTATTATTTGAATTATGTTTAATTAGGTTAATCTTCATTCACTATTTCAATTGATTTATGAGTTTAATTTACTTCATTAGAGGAATCCTTAATAATTTCAATAGATTAATGGTGCCAAATTTCAAAAGATTTATGTTAATCTAAATGTGTTATTTCAAGGGATTGCTGAGCTTATACTAAGCTCCTAAGATGAATTAATTATAAAAGAGTTACATGGCATTCTATTTTTTAAATGAATGAAATTCAGCAACTTCTTGTTCTTGGTAATTCTAATATCCAATCAATTCAATAGGTTGTTCCTCATTTGTTATAATTATACACATGTTCAATTATCCATCATTATCAACAATGAGATTACCATCAAGTAAATCTTTGCTTATTAAATCAATGAATACCAATATTGAAATTATTTGCATGAGTATTAGTAGCTAAAACACCAATAAATGTTGGTCTCTAGATAATAAGAGGAAATTGAATCTCATTTCCAACATCAATGCGGTTAAAACATTCAATTTGATAGTTCTCATCATTTTCAATGGCTAAATAGGCAAATTCTGCCTCAATCTCATTTGATGCCATCATTTGTAATGTAAATCCTTATTTTATATAGTTACTCATATACCTTCTTGATTTATATTGTGAATTTCTGCAAATATATCTCCATGACCATTAAGAAGTGCAATGGCCACTTATGGGATCTGCTAAAAAGGTTATTAAAAGAATATTTCCTTAAATTTATCAAATGAATTACTTTTGTTTGTATTTGTCCTCCCTTTTCATTTTGAATCAAAATTGTTCCATAATTCAGACTGTGGACAATCACCATAAAGGTGATTAATAGTAAGCATTATTTGACCATTTTTTATTATAAATAAAAACGGATTGTATTTAATTTACTCTCAATTTACTTATTAATTTATTTAACTGAATGGCAGAATAAGGGAGATATAGTAAATTAAGTGAAGAGGAAGCTGCAGCTCAATTTGAATTAAGGTACACATCCAAATTTACTTAAGAAAATAATAATTATTAGGTAATTTGTAAGAACAATACCAAAATGCAAATAGTTAAAAGAATAAAAAGCAATCCAAATCATAATAACATTAGTCTAACCAATAAGAATTTATTGTCTTTAATCCTAATAAAAAACAATTATCTAAACCATCTAAAAAGCCATCCACAAAATTAGAAATTCATAAAGAAGAATCACCTTTACAAAATCCAAGTCCTCCTCCAGAATAGGAGATAGAATATGAAGTTTAATAACCTGTGAATCCAATTCCTCTTGAATAATCTCCTTTAATTGATAAACCATAAAAGCCAAACATCAAAAAAATGCTACTTAGAGATATTGGTAATTTGGATCTTGAAATTTAAAGATTAACAAGAGAAACCAAAGAGTTTAAAAATGAAAAATCTTTAAATAAATCCTAATTATCTTCTTAACAGTCAAAAATTCTTAAAGAATCTCTTACTAAACCAAATTCAAGACCTAGTTCATTATAGCATTAATAATCAAAACCATACTATGAATTAAGATAAAGACCTTCAAGTAAAGAATCACGTATTTCAGATGCCTCTTATACTAAAAAAGCTGAATGTTTTAAAGGAGTTATTAGAAGTTCAAGTCTAAAAAAATTACCTTAACCTTCAAAAACACATTCTAAATTTTTATAATTAAGAAGTGCATCTGAAAAGAAAATCAATTAATCAATCAATAAGATAAATACTATAGAATCTGAAAATAAAGAAATTTCCAATAAGATTGTTTAAAGTGAAAGAAAAATACCAAAACCTATTATTTAAATTAATAGAAGTTAATCTAAATAAGATACTCCTACATATGAAAAGAAATCTAGTACTCCTGTTAAATCTATATTGAAGGTATAATTTAATTCAATCCCTTTGGAATGCAATTCAACTAAAAACAATAGTGCTTCCTATGTAAACTTTTCATTCAAATTAGTTTCATTAGCATAAAGAATCATATAATAGTTAAATAAGTTTTTCAAAGAATAAATGTGTCGAAGCCCAGATTGAAGAAGCAGTATAATTATACAATAATCTTAAATCTTTAATGCAAAATAAAACAAGTGTATTATAAGTTAGAAAAGATGGAAATCTTATTCCCAGAAAAACTGCAGACTTTTTTGTATAATTTTTTATTTATCTAGTACCATAAAGAGATGTAGAAACCCACTTTATACTGAACTTAAAATTTTTGATAATATTAATTATATATTCATTATTTCTATCCAATTAATTCTAGAACTCCATGTAAATTTTTGTTTTTGATAATTATATCAAAGTCAATATAAATTATTTCTTTAAAACTATATTATATTATCTAAATTTATTTATAGTAATTTTTTTTCAGATATTTTATATATTTACTTATTAATATAAATAAATTGTATAAAAAGTTCATATAAAGATGAAACATAAAAATACTCTTGTTATGCTAAATTAAATTGTATATTGCAACCAAAAAAATTGAATTTTTATTAGTTTATTCTTCTTTTTTAATCATTAGAGCATTAGATGATAGTATAAATTTCTTTTATTTTGATATCCTTTTGAAATAACATTATATTTTAATCAGTATTATATATAAATTTTTTATTAATAATTTCAAATCTTCTTGAATAAATAATTTATTTATACAAACTATTTATTTTTAAATTATTGCAACTCTTTATCAATGAATTAAATATTCTTTGAACTCTAAAATCAATTAAATATTCAATAATTAAGATTGCCAATACATTTTAGTTAAATCAGTTTAAAATATTTTTATATAATTGTTGTAATTATGATAATTAGATTATAATAAAAGATTCTAATTAGATTATGTCATAAAAATTTTAACTTTATCTATAATTAAATTTGATCATCAGGCTTCTCATAAGAAATAATCTAATAAAATTAAAAGATTCAAAATTCATTCTATATTTTATACTTTAACCTAAATAATAAGTTATAAACTTTGAATCTATGAAATTTATTTAATATTTTTATAAAAAATATGCTAAAAGAGCTAGAAATAACAAAAAAATAATTATTTATAAAACTGATTCCTTATATTATCTTAAAACATATTATATGTTATAATTTCAAATTTTTAATGATTTCATTGCCTCTTACAACTAAGTCTCTTTCTCTTTTCCTTTTGTAACTAAATGTTATCTAACTTTTTCATATTCATCAATTTCTCTTTCATGAGATTTGATATTTTCATTGACTTCGTTCACAATATCAGCTTTTGGTTTCAAAATAAAGCTATGAACATTTATAAAATCTGATACCATCTTCCAATAGGTTGAAATGTCTTCTATTAATCAATACTACTCAATTCTTTTAAAGTAATGTTACATTTTTATATGTTTCTTTTAAGTGTATTTATTGATGCTTCATATTATCTAACTTTGGCTAATGTGCTTAAAACATCTTTTTCTAAATCCATAGCTTATTAGATTTGATTCTCTTTCTCTTTACTAATTTACTACATATTAAATTAATTTTATTTTATTCATTTTTAATTATTTTCTAGAGATTGAAAATTAATTTATCAATTTTTATATTCTAAAAAAAAAAATAGAAAATAGTATTAAAATAATGGTGATAAAATTATTTAAGTTCAATTGAATCTTAATTCACTCTCTAATTTATATAACAACAATAACTTTTAATTTAATTATAATTTAATTACTATAAGATATATTGTTAATTCTTATTGATATAAATTTAATGAATGCATAAAATACATTTCAATCATAAGACAATAATTCTTATGATATATCAATAATTTTATAATCTTAAATTCATAAAAATAAGATAATTCCAATATTTTAACATAGAAGAGCAATTCAATAAAGATTGATGTCAAAAATGAATAACTTATAGAAAGTATTGTATATTAATTTATAATAATGTAATTTACTATTAACAAATATGAATTTTCTAATTTTAATTAAGAATGGTTTATAATAACTTTAGTATTTGTTTAATAAATAGAAACTATTGATTTAGTGTAATATATAATATGATTTTATCAAGAAATAGTATAAATATCTTATGAGTATTTTGATTATAAAATAATCTATGTAGAACATTATTGAGTACAATAATCAATATGCATTCAAAATTTGTACCTGTTATTTAAATAGGAATTGTGCATTATACATAATTCAATAAATTATTAGAAATTAATGATGAAATGTGTGATTCTTGCTACGTTACTGCTTTCAATCACATGCATAGACTTTGTGGCAGATGAATTTAAATGGCCAGATTGGCCTGTGTATAGATTCAAGACTTGGTCAGGATTGATTGAGATTGATGACGATGGAGTTAAGAGGTTCATATAGATTTTTACATTAGAAATTTGCATTACGTATTTGTAGAGAGCCAAACAGAGGATGCAGAAGTAGCAACATAACCAGTAATACTTTGGCTTAATGGTGGTCCAGGATGTTCATCATTATTGGGTTTAATGTAAGAAATCGGTCCATTTGTGATTGATAATGGAGAAACTGAATACAAATATAATCCATGGTCTTGGAATATGAATGCTCATTTATTAATATTGGAATCTCCATTTGGAGTTGGATTCTCTTAGCCAGCCCCTGATAAAAACTATAAATTCACAGATGAGAAGACTGGCAGATTCAATTATGAGGCCATCAGATAATGGTTCGATACATTCACATATTATAGAGGTAGAGATTTCTACATTGCTGGAGAATCATATGCAGGTATGAAAGTTAGTAAATGTTAGGAATGTATATTCCTTATACAGCCAAAGCATTATTAGAAGGAGAAAAAACAGTAGATGTAAAGGAAAAGATTTAATTCAAAGGAGTATTAATTGGAAATGGTGTATTGATAAATAATGAGAAATTTAGAAGTTAAACTTCATTAAAGTTTTTGGCTAGAAGATCATTTATTGATTATACTAATTAGTTTATTTTGAATCACAATTGTGCTTTATAACCAAATTCAGCAAGTTGTAGACAAGCTAAGAAATCATTGGATGATGCTATTGCATTGATAAATCCTTATGGTGTCTATTCATATTGTTGGGGTGACAGTACATGGAAATAATACAAAGTTGAAAGATAATCCAAACATAGATTTTCATATACTCCTTGGTTAAAATTAAGTGAAGATGATGATGATAGTAGTGCTCCTTGTATTGATTTTGGACCTTTAGCTAATAAATTAAACACTGATGAATATAAATAGGCACTTCATGTAGATATGGGTACTGTCTGGACAGGATGTAGTGATCCAGTTTATCTTTAATATACAAAATCAGAGGGAAGTTATTTAATTTTACCTGAATTATTTTAAGCAGGAATTAAAATACTCCTATATTCTGGTGATCAAGATTTAGCTGTTAGTATGGTTGAGACCTATGAAAGTATCAAATAGATACCAGGAGTTAAGGAAATCAAAGGTTGGACTCCTTATTTGAATACTCATCCAGGAAAATTAAAAGATCAATTAGCAGGATGGATTGTAGAATACAATTATTTCAGATTCCAAGTTATCAGAGGTGCTGGACATGTAATTTAATATATATATATAAATTATAGATGGTCCCATAAGATTAAAGAGAGAATTCATGGTTTATGCTCGATAATTTTATTTAAGGAGTTTGATAAACATAATATATATATATAAATGTTATTCATTTAATTATTATTATTTGACTATTAGTATTAATCATAAATATGCAATAAATTCCAGTAATATTATTGAAATAGTTTATCCAAACTTTACATTTGAGTGACTTATGATTTACATATGGATTGGCTCTTCAATTATAATTCAATTAAGATTATACTAAAAATAAATTTATGGAAGAGTGGCATCTTCAGAATATTCAAATCAACTCAATAGTATTTGTACTTCCTTAGCATTATAATGTTTTAAACTATTATTTAGCTAGCTAATTCATATGAAGAATGTATGTTGAATTATTCCTTATCCATTTTAGTCATCACTATTTTGATGGACTTCAAATTATCCATGTCATTATAAGAATTAGTTATAAGTTTGCCTTATTGTGATGACCTTATATTTATATTGAGAGGTGAAAATCAGAACAAGTTTTGAACATTCTTAAAGGAAATTATAAAAAATTACTGATCTCAATCTTTACAATCTAGTAGAACTCAATAGTATAATTAAAATCTAAAAAGATGGAGAGATCTTAATTTAAAATATTTAAGTGTTAATTTAGAACTTAGAAACTGAGCAATCTTTTAAATGATTATTAATTTTATACTAAATATATACATCATTACTTTTAATTCAAACTTGTAAATCAACAAATATAAAATAAATACAAATAATTTTTATAATCACATGAATGGTCTTGTATTAGCAAATTGTAATTATATGTATTTATGAAATAATCAGATACAATTAGTATTAATAATATTAATTTATTATAAGATTAATTTAATATATTAAGATATATCATTAAATAAAATTAGTATAAAATGTAAATTCAATGAGCTCTTTCTCTTATTTTCCATTAATGCATATAAGAATTTAATTTAATATTAAAGTCACTTAGTCTATCTCTTTAATTTTGCTACATTGTTTGACTTAATATTTATTTATTAATTGAATTAACTCCATTTTAGTTGATAATGTTTCCATCATAACCAACAGAACTATGTCTAGATTTTTCATTAATATTCATTTCAACTGAACCATTCTTCCTTTATTATTTTGGTTTAATTTTTTATTCATAATCTTGTAATTATTTAATGAAACCTGGATTTGGATTTATGAATCTTCTTCTTTATTAAATATGTCTAAGAGTTTAATTCAAATTCCATTTATATTTTTGCATCATATATACAGCACAAATTGCAGCAGATCTTGAAATTCCAGCATAACAATGAATCAATATATTGGTTTTAAGAGAATGATTATCTATAAATTTAATAGCTTGATCAAAATATTTATGTAAAGGGAAATCTTCACAATCATCAGCCATTATCCACTAATTTTGTTATTATATAGAATATACCAATTTTTAAGCCCCTCTTATTTAAATTGATTAATCTATCACAGAAAGTACTGCACCTATTTAATATTTTGATAAAAGCTCTGAATTTTAAGCAGCATCTAGATTTCCTAAATATACACCTCCAACTCCATTTAATGGTGCTATTATACAATTCATACTATTTGGCAGACAAGAATTATTAACGAACATTTTAATTAAAATATATGTAATTATTTTCATTCCTAACTACTTATTTCTTAAATAGTTTAATATTTTCCATATTTTTTCTTTAACTTTAGTAGATAGGAGAATAAATAATATAAAAAGATAATTAACACTATCATCACAAAAGCATATAATGTTTCTGAAAAAGTATTATATTCTAATTATAATTTAAAAAACTATTACTTTCTTTTAGATTTAAATCTTTATAAACTCTTCTACCATTATTTTTCTTAAGTGATTATTATTCTAAAAGTATGATATCTTCTTCTGTAAATTAATGATTGACTTTATAATTTGAACAATTATTTTCAACAAATAATATCTCTTGAGTTTATTTATTAAATCCAATATCCCAATTTCTCATCCATACTTATCCAAGAATCATCCTAGATGCTGTTTTAGATAATTAAATTACCACCAGGTATTACTGCAAGAGGAAAACAATATCTATCACTAGTATTCACAGCCAATATAAGATAATTAATTGGTTTCCAGTTGAATGTAAAATTATTGTCTAATTCAAACTGATATGTAGGAAAATATGATGCAAAATTAGAAAAATTTTCATGTTTTTCTGGAATATATTGATAACAATTTAATCCCTCTAAATATTGCAAATCTGGACAATTCTCATTTTAACAATTAAATTATTCAGTCAATTTTTCACTTAATTTTGGTGAACCATAAGCCAAAGTCGATCCTGAATCAATAAAAGCTCCTTATCCTAAATTTATTAAGTTGTGATCAGCGATTATTCTATTATCAATCTATCTATTTTTTGAAGATCATTTTACTTTGATACTATTGACATTTATTTTATAAACATCTGTCTCGTGGTTGTATTTCACTTTATAATACTAACTATTATTTTAGTGTCTATTAAAATCGTACTACCCTATAGTCATATAGCCATCCTTCCTTCCAATACATATTGAAAACATTTTCTAAAATTCTTTACCTTTTTCTTTTTCATAGAGATCATCTATATAATTTGGAAAGGAGAATTCTGTATTTGTTTTTGGTGATAAACCCATGATTCCATTAGCTTTTTAAGTAAAAAATAAATTTGTTTCTAAAGTAGTACATCCAATGACACTTAAGACCTATTCTAATTTAACTATTTCATCTGATTAGTTTAAATTTTCAAACTCATCTCCCATAATTAACCAATCCTACAAAAAATAGCCAGCAAGCCTTGATCCTTCAGCATAGCTAATTTAAAAAGAGCACCTATTGTTTAAACATTTCTCACATTATTTTTCACCTATTATTTGATCACATTTAACTTATTTATGAGTTAAAGAATTCTATTAATAAATATGATTTGTTTTACTTTGTAATTATAGAATGAATCAATGTGGGTACCACAACTTTTACAATCTACACATGGAAAAGTTGTGATTGAACTTGCTGTATCAAGAATTAATGATTATTTTTATTTATGTTCTCCAACAAATATATTCACATAATAATAACCTTAATCACTATCACCATAGATTATTGATGTGTGAATAGGATCATCATAACAAATTGCTAAAGAGAATAAATATAAAATAATAAGCATTAATAAATAAATTAATTATTCATTTTTTTGAGATGTACGATTTCTTAATTGAATAATTATAAGTATTAGCATTATAAACTAGATTAAGTTTTTAAGATTACAAATTATATTATCCCTATTCATATATTATAAAATAATTACTTAAACATAAAAAGATGGTTATTAGATTGAAGTTCTCTTATTTAGTGATTTATTATGAATATTCTGTTATTTTTTAGAATCTTCCTTGAGGCCTGATAAACCTATAACTTTATTAATTCTTTTATCTTATTCAGATCCTAATCTACTTTAAGGGAGAGTATCATTAAATTTAATTTTGAATGATTAATTAAATGTTTTATGCATTTATGATTTAGTATCATCCCCATCTTTATTACCTTCAGTAGTCTCATCTCCAATATTGTAATTATAAACTTATCTTTATACAAATGATAAATTCTATATTGTTTATGGAATAGCCTTTTCTTGAATTTTTTTTGTTTTCTATTCACCCAAATCATATTGATTAATGATGCTGTGTTTAGAATCATCTCTCTCACAACTAATCCTTCTCTGAAAATTACTTTTAGGTCTAACATCACTTTCTTTATTCCATACATCTGATAAATAAGGATGCTCTAAACAATTTAAAGAAGTCATTCTCTTATTTGGATCCATTATTAAACATTGCTTTAAGAAATTCAAACCTTTATTACACATTTTACCATAATATCTTTTCTCAATAGTTTCTGATTTTACAATTTCAGGAAACTTCATTCCTATATATCTTTAATTCTTCTAAAATTTCTCCATCTAATCTTAAGTCAATGGACCAATTATTTTCTATATCAGATATAATTAATCCATCTCATTTTCACCTGGAAATAATGGTTGACCATCTATCAATTCTCCCATAATACAACCAATTGCCCAAATATCTACTTGTTTTCCATAATTATTAGATATCAGTAATTCAGGGGATCTATACCATCTTGTAGCTACATAATCAGTCAATTATTCTTAACTTTATATTGTCTAATGATTATATCTATATTACTCTTGCAAAACCGAAATCACATAACTTTAAATTAAGTTCATTATCTATAAGTAAATTTTCAGGTTTAATATCTCGATGTGCAATACCAACAGAATGACAAGTATGCACTGCAAGAACCAATTAAAATATCACTCTTTTAATGCTATTTTACTAATTCTAAGAGCTATAAGTATACATCTAGTGTTTTCCTCTCCTCTAATAATTCTAATAAGTTTTTGTCAACGAATTGAAAAACAAGAAATATTTTGCCTTTCTTTTTAAATGCTTCCTTAAGTTAAATAATATTTGGATGCTTCAACATTCGCAACATCTTCACCTCTCTTTAAATACTTTTCTTCACTGCTTCATCATCCTCTGTTTCTTTAAACTTTTTGATAGCCACTGTAACAAATACAACAAAATAACTAACCACATTCATTTGTCTCTTTATTTCTGCATTTTAACACTATACCATAAGCACCTTCACCCACAACTCCCATTATTTCATACTTATTCATTATTATTTAATATAAATTAACAATCCTTTTTATCCAAAAATTTGTAATTTACTAAATAAATTTAATTATAATAAAAAGTACATATCTATATTGTATAAACTAATAATTTAAAATACTTAAATCTACTTTTAAGATTTGAAAATTAATTTAGTAAAACATTATTTATTTGAATTCTTAATCATTTTTTTTATATAACAATTAATCAATTTTTAAATTATTACAATAATCAAATTACTTTAAGCATCAATCATATCAATTAAAACCATTCATTTTTTTATATTAAATCTTCAATTCAAATTTTGTATATATACCTTCATTCATTAAGAAAAGCATTTAATTCCAAATTTGATTCTATTTTACTAAAATATTATTGATATCTAAGATTTCTATAATTTTTAATAGAATATTTTTATTTTTTGACATTATATATTAGGATATATCTATATTTAATAAAAATAGCATTCATATTTGTCATTTTCTAAATAATAAAGGAAATAAATTGAAATTACAATAGGAATGAAACATCAATTAAGGAATTTTATTAAACCTTTTTATTTTAATCTTAATATCAATAAGATTAGCCAACTTTTATTAAAATGTATTATTATAGACGGTTGATAAGTTTATTTTTTATATTTTTTATATTAATACCCGTTTTTTTTTAATTGTCTGGAAACGGGTAGGTTACGCTTATATTCCTTATTTAAGAGCATTAAATTATTGATAATATTAATGAAATTGAGTCTAGCTCTAGTATTATTAGTAACATTAGCCTCAGCCACTTCTACTCATGATTAAATCATGGCCTTTTTGTAAACAGGTACAAAGGCTATGGATGCTATTGATACAGTTTTTGGTTTGTTGAATGATCTGATACAATCAAATAAAGATGCTTAATTTGCAGCTGATTAAAAGAATGAAACTGATGAATGGGTTGGTGCTTAGTAATACATTAATAATTATATTCAGAACAATTGAACAATTTACTAAAATAAAGACCTTGAATCAAAAGTTATTCCAATAATCAATTGAAAACAGAGCCTAATTTGAATAAGAGTTATCAGACACTAAAAATTATCTTGCATGGAATGAACAAAGATAAGATGAAATTAATAGAAAAATTTAAGTTTTGCTTGATTAACAATGCTTAAGCAATTAACTTTTTGTTAGATCAATCAAATAAAATAGAGAAGCTCTTGAAGTTGTAAGATTACTTAAATAAGATGTTGCAGGATATATTATTAATGGAGATTCTTTTGAGTTAGTTCAAGTAAAAAGTGTTGCTGATAAACTTAAATCATATAGTAATACATTTAATGAACATGAAATTAATTCATTCCTTTAATTAGCTAACAATTAAGAAGATGGATCAGTTAGTAGAGGAGCAACTTTAGCTGAAAGAGTATTATCTGTATTAGAAGGACTTGAAGCTAATTTAGCAGCTTCCCTTGAAGCTCTTGAAACTAATGAGATTAATGCCTCATGGGAATTAGCAGGATGGGTTTCATTGAGTGAAGCAGAAGTTACTACATTGAAAGTTGAATATGAAAGAAAATAAGTTTATGCTGATAGATTAGCTGCTGTAATATTTAATAAATAATAAATTCTAGTAAATTTAAGCAGCTCTTGCTTAATAAGCTAAATCTAAGATTATTTTACAAGAATCTTAAGATGCTCTTGATTAAGCTTAAGCAGATTTAGAATCTAAAAGAGCTGATTATGCTGAAGCTAAAGCTAAGAGAGATGAAGAAAATGCCATAATTGAATAAGTCATTATTATTTTCAAGAAATAAGTAGCATCATGGTCTGGAAGATGATATTCAATTTTAACATAAATATTAAAAATATTTATTAAATAATTCCATCTTATATTGTTGTTAATAAGAATAGTATAAATATTACAATCATAAATTAAAATCAACAATCTTAGCAAAATCTTATTCTGTTAAATCAAGAGATGTTGATGTCTATAAATGAAGTTTTTATTTTTTTAAGATTTCTATGATTTTAGCTTATTTTTTGAAAACAGCTACAACTTCTTATCTTTATTTTAATAGTCTTTTATTATCTGCTAATAGTTTATCTAATTATTTTTATAAATCATCATTTGATTCTATTTATTTAACTTCCTATTATTATATTTTAACTTATGTTAATTCTTCAAGTAATTTAATTTATTTTTAATCTTTCTTTTATAATTCATTTTATAAATTCCTTGAATTCTTGCTCCAATTCTCTAAATCTTTTAATTATTATTATTATTCTCTCTCCATGGTATCTTATTTTTCTTATGCCTATAAATATTATTTCTTAATATTTTCAACTTTTTCACTTAATTGTGTTATTTGAATAATGTATTTTTTACTTTCATCAGATAAAGATTTGCCTTCACTTTCATATTATTTTAAGATTTCATCATATTACTTAGATTTATTTGATTCAATGATTAATGATTTTTCTAATTATTCAATTAATTTTTTCTATTTTTGAATTTCAATATCTGAATCCTCTTATATTTCTTTTAGTTCATTTAATTTTTGCATTTGAATCTAATATCTATTCTTATTGATTTCAGAAATTTCATTAAGTAACTTTTATTCAGGATCATCAAAAATGACAGCCATTTTTTACATAATAGCAGCAGAATCCATTTTCTTAAATAAAAGAATTTAAATTAAAAAAATTAAAAAAAAGAATAGATGTACCCATAACATAATTTTAATGACATTGACAAATATGTGTTTTAATGTATATAATGTATCAGGCAACAAGTATACATGCACCACCAACAGCCTTGATTCTTCTCTCTGCAGTTTTGCTAAAGAATTTAGCCTTGACAACAACTGGTTGATTTGGTAATCTTCCTTTACCCAAAACCTTGAAATAACCTGCCTTTGTAACATCAATGACTGCAGCCTTATCTTTTGATTTGGAATATTTTTCTCTAGTTTCGTCTGTAACAAGAGACCATAATTTGTCAATATTTACAACTGGTTTATGAAGTGTATTCTTTTTTAAATGGAAATGTCTCATTCCAGTCTATTCATAAGTATTATAGGTACTTTTTAGAAATATCCTGGATGATATTTATTGAAGTTGATTCTATGATGTGTTAAACCTCCTGAAACACCTCTACCACTTGGATGTTTTCTATGCTTACCAACTCTACCATAACCATGGCAGACATGTCCTCTCATCTTTCTGCATTTTCTTAATCTGCTAACCATTTATTTATATTTTAAAAAAAGATTTTAATAAGTGAATAATTACTACATTTGATTTCTTGACCCTCATATTATATTTCCTGAATTTCATTTCTATTTTAAAACATATTAAGAAATACATAAATACATAAGAAACTATAAAATTATATATCTTTTAATATCAATTTTGAGTAGAAAAAGATTTATTGATTTTAAAAGTGTATATAATGATTTAAATATACTAAAATAAAATAATTGTAACTTATCAAATTGAAATAAATAGAAATTGGAGTCTTAAATTTAACACTAAGAATTATGAAAATCTAAGTAAAAATATCTATTATTTTTATATTGATTTTATTTTTGATAATATAAAATATTTTATTAACAAAAAGAATGAAAAGGAAGCATACTTTATTTCTAAGAAAAGTTGTTGGAGAATAAAGTTAAATGAGTTGGCCTTTTGCTGATTAAGACTTACATTCTAGTAACATTTTTCAAAGTAAGAGAGCAGTCATCAATTAGCTTAGAGTCCTGATTATCAAATATTTGATTTTAGTCAAAAGAATTCAACTAATGAAATCTTATCTAGATCAATAGTTGGCAAATTGGATATTTACAATAAATAGGTTAATGGCCTTGAAAAGCCTCTTCGTTTTAGTTAACCTGTAAAGTTATCTAGTATGATAAAGAAAATTAAAAGAAGTAATATATTATGAATATATTTTTAGCCAATACTAATGAACCATCAAGTCTAAATTCATCTTATAGAAGCAAAAAAAATATTACAAATTAATAACAATTAATACAAAAAACTGGAGATGCTAACTTTGAAGTACTTGATAAATATGAATTATTATAAACTATGGAAAAAATATAGAAAATAATTAAGAATAATGAAAAAAATGCATAAAATTAACTTTAAAAAATTTCAGTAACTGAAAAGATATTGAAAAATTAACATGAAAGAGCACTAAATAAACATGAAAAATAATTGCAAATATGGAATGAATTATCAACAAAAATTAGTTCTAGAATGAAAAATAATTAAAGTACATTAATTGAAAGATAGGCTTGTATTTTCATATATTAAATAACTAGAATATAGATCTAGATTAGACTCATTAGATATGTTTGAAGAATTGAAACCAGAGGAATCCAAAAATCCAGTTATAACTTGGCATCAAAGACTAAGATCTTAATATAGACCTTAAGTAATATATTGTTGTTTATTATAAAGAAAATTATATAAAAAGAAGAATAGGAAAGATTATAATTAAAATAAGATCTATTAGAATAAATACCAAGTAGGGAACTATTAGATATACCTAATCCATAGAAATTAATTTCAGATATCAAAAATAAAAATGGTTATGACAAAGGTCGATCTGTATCTGATTATAATGGATTAAAAGTAAAATAGTTACAAAAAATTAGTTAGTTGGTTTGAGTGTCTATGATTAAGAATTAAATTCTTTGAAAAAAGATTAATCTCAAATACAATAGTAATACTACTATTATAAGGCTCCAAAAGATATTAAAATCGAAGATGAAAATTTTTGAGAATATTATTATAATTAAAATATGTTTGTATTTATTAGTGAAGGGGAACCTAAAGATCAAACAGATTACTTTTTAGGATAGGATCCCGATGTCAATTTATCTGAGAAAGGATAAAATTAAGCTAATTAGACTGGTATGGCATTAAAATAGATTATAAATGAACATATCAGCTCTCAAAAATTAAATACTAAAGATTTAATATTTGTATTCATGTCATCCCATTATATGAGATGTATAGAAACTCTAGCAATTGTTATGTAATATTTACCTACAGAAAACAAAAAGATTTACATTTAAAATTAATTAAGTGATCTTTTATTACCTCATTTATATAAATAAGAACCTGTCAAAGAACAATTTTAAATTAATTATGATAAAAAGATATAAGGATATTTTAATAAAAAATATGGTGTTGAAATATGGAAATAAAATTATATAAAAGGAATAAAGATTGAATAAAAATATCCTGAAGATTAAACATACTGTAGAGCTAGAATAGGTTCATTTATAATTGAGACTTAAAATTATGTCAATGGCTTTTAAAATAAAGCTAATTATATATATATATGTGCCACTCATCTAGGAGTCTAAGAGATTGTATTAGATCATTTTGATGGTAAATGTAAAAATATTGACTATTGTTCTGTAACAACAATTTGTTTTCCTGAAAATTGGTAAAATCCTAAATTGACTCTTAAAGCAAAAACATTATGGAAATGATTATTAAAATATTTAATTATGATATTTTTTGTTCGACATGGAGAAAGAGCTGATTAAACAAATGATAATGGAGAGAGGAAAAGAATTTAAAAATCATTTGATCCTCATCTTACAAATGTAGGTGATAAATAAGCAAGAATGACAGGAGCACATTTAAATAAATTAATTTAAGAGTATGCCAATGAAAAATAAATTCAAGTAAAGGACTTATAAATAGTATTTGATGTTATTTAAACTAGAATTTTATGACCTCACCATTTCTAAGATGCATTTAAACTTCCATTAATTTAATGAGGGAAATCCCTAATAATTCAAAGTTATATATTTAAGATGAAATTGGAGAATTAATGTATACATTTGATTTTTCTTCTAATATACTTGATAAATTACATTTGAGAACTGAATAACATCCAATTCTAACAAAAGAGTATTAAAATGGTGTTTAAATTATAAAAGAAAGATTTATTAAAAATCCTAATTTACCTTAACCTGTATTCCCAGAGAATGATAATTTATGTTATAATAGAATTAAGGCATTTATGGTAGAACTTAAGAGTCAAATGGATAAACTTCCAAATAAAACTAATACAATAAATATTTGTGTTACACATTAAGGAGTAGTTGAATTAAGTTTAATGATTGAAAAAGTAAAAAATCATAATTGGATTGATTATTGTGGAGTATCTTAATTTATATTAGAAGATCATGGAAATGTAAAAATTGGAATAAAAGGATAAAGTTTTTGGAAATGATTATTAAAAAATTATTGTATATAACACAAAATTCATTTATATAATTTTTCGTCAATTTTATTTAATTAAGCCTTTGATTTAATTATCTATGAATACATAATATTTATACATCACTTCTTAAAGGATTAAATGGTTAAACTAATGAATTTGTTTTAATAGAATACTATTATTCTTATACATTTGAGATAGAATTTTATATTTCAGATTTAAATTATTGTGTACTCACTATTGATTTTATTTTTTATGTATCTTCTATATTAAATCCTGAAACTAATCCTGTGCCATTATTTACAACTTCTCCTATTTTATGAATTTCAAATGTTTTAGATACTATAGGTCCATTATTAATAGAATTATATCTTCTATTCTATAATTCCTCCCTTAATAAATTAATTTCTGATTCATACTCAGTGGCCTAAATACTAAATATCAATTACTCTTTCAATTAATATATCATGCTTAATCTAAATCTAATCCTTCATCTTCATCTGTCTCTAGATTTCCAAATTAAGACTCTATATTTTTGTTTCTAATTCATCGATCTTTTGATTGCTTTTCTATATATATTAAATTACTTTTATGTTTCTCTTAAAGTTACTTATTGTCTATTGGTTTATTGAAACATTGTTTAATTTTCTATTCTTTGAGTTCTAATTGTAGTTTGTAATTCTGAAATACTTTCTTATAATTCGTAAATCTATTTATCTTTATTAGATAATTAAATTTAAAAATCTTTTATAGATACTTGATTCCTTAATTATGATTCTAACTATTAAATAGTTTCTGTTTTTCGTCTATTCTCTTATTCTAATCTACTAAATTTTTCAAAATCCATTTATTAAAATCTTTCTTAATATTCCTAATTTTCTCTACTTATTTATATAATTCTTAATTCTAGTTCATTACATTTTTACTTATATTAAGCTTATTCATTTTAAATTTAAAAGTTCATTTTGTTTACTTTATCTAGTTCTAATTTCATCATTTCTCTACTTTACTCTAAAGATTTCAATTATATTTTTAATGATTCAGTTTCTCCTGAGGTTATTTGATTTTAAATAGTTAAATAATTTCTTTTCCATTATTCACTTTCTTCAGCCTTAATTCTCATCATATCATTTATTTATTAATTCTCCTTTTATATATATTCCATCTATTTTTTTAGTTCCTTTATTTCTCTTCCTTTTTCATTTTCTAAAATTGAAATCTATTCCAAAAACTCTTACTCTTTTCTCTCAAATTAATTTAAAATTGATCTTTGCTTTTAGTTGTCTTCTAACTTTGATTACAAAACTCTTATTTGATCTTAGTATTCAAAATTAATAGTTTAAAGTTTATCTATCTCATAATTTTAATTCTAGTATTCTAATTGCATTGCATTTAATTCTTCTTAAAATGATAGCAATTAAGATTCAAGTTACCTTATTTTATATTTATCAGACTCAGATGGTATTTCAACAGTAATTGTTTCTTTTATTTTTTCTTACTTTTTTTAATTCATTGCGAAATAATCTTATTACAAATAATTTAATTACTATTCTAATTACCTAATTCTCATTTTATCCTACTCAGAAGACACTTCTATTTTTTCTGTTATAGTCTCTCTAATAACTTCTTACTTTTTAGCTAATACCATTGATAATTCACTCTTAACTTATTATAATTAAGCCTCCAATTATTAGATCCTAAACTTATCAATAGACGATGGTACCTCAACGGTTACAGTTTCCTTTATTATTTCAGATTTTATTTTATTTAAAGCAATGTAGTCTTATTACAATTTATATAAATCATGCTCTAATTCTAAGATTCTTTTTCTGTCAGACTCTCTACTAACTTCCACTTTTTCAGTAACTACTTCTTTAATTACTTCTTATTTCTTTTATGATACTATCTATAATTCTAATTTAATATTATTTAATTATTATTCTAATTATTAAATTCTTAATTTATCTGATTAAGAAGGAACTTCAATTCTCTCAGTAACCACTTCTCTTATTACTTCTTATTTCTTCAAAGTAAGAATCTAAAGTTCCTATCTTAATTATTAAATTTATGTTTCAAGTTATTAAATTTTGAACTTATCAGCCTAAGAAGGTACTTCAATTGTGATTGTCTCTGTAATTATTTCTTACTTCTTTTTACTAAGAGCCTCATATGACTTATTTAAACTCTCTAATTGACTTTCTAGTTGTCTAATTCTCTATTTGTCAGCTTCTAAGGCAACTTCCACTCTTTCAGTTATTACTTCTCTTATTACTTCTTATTTTTTTTAATTTAAAATTTATAAGTCAGTTCTTAATTATTATAATTATGATTCTTATTATTAAATTTTCAATTTATCAGCTTAAGATGAAACTTCTACTGTAATTGTTTCTTTTATTACTTCTTATTTTTTTTTATTTAAAATTTAATAATCTCTTTATAATCTTTCAAGTTAATCTTATAATTAATTAATTTTCTATTTATCTGACTCCATTGGAACTTCAACTTTTTCTATCAATATTTCTTTTATTACTTCTTATTTTTTGAGACTTAAAACCTATAATTCTGATTTTAATTAATTTAACTGTGTCTCTAATAATTGAATGCGGCTTTTATCAGCTTACTAGGAAACTTCAACTGTAATTATTTCCTTAATAGTTTCTTATTTTTTTTAACTTAACACTTAATATTCCCTTTGGATATTACTTAATTAAGTTTCTAATTATCTTATTTTTATTTTATCAGACTCTAATGGAATCTCAATTTTCTCTGTTACATACTCCCTTATTACTTCTTATTTTTTTTATGTTAATTATTAAAGCTAACATTCTAATTAGTATATCTTTTATCTATCACTTTCAAGAGATTAAACCTCTCTAATAGTTTCAATTACTACTTAATTTTTTCTTCTATCTAATTCATAATATTTAGTTTTCCATAATTATAGTTCTTCCTCTAATTAAGCAATCAGTTAGATGTCTTCCTAACTTCTAATATGTACTGTTTCTCTAATAGTTTCCCTTATAACATCTTACTTTGAATTGCTTAATTATTACAACTACAATTTTAAGAGTTGTATTTACTATTCTAATTCTTAAATCTTTTATTTATCAGATGATGAAGATACTTCAATAGTTTCAAGTTTAAATTCCTACATTCTTTAAAGTAATTTCTCAAATTCAAATGTCTTATCCTATAATTATCTATCTAAATCTCTACATTTAATTTTTAAAGATTCAATTTCATATTCTAATTACTTGATTCTCTTTGATTCATCTTATTTCTATATTTACTTAGTGTATGTTATAATTTATTCTTGATACTTTTCTTCTCTAATTTTAATCTCTTTTTATAGTTAAATTATTTCCATTTCTAGCTCTTAAATTCTTTATTTATCATGATTTGATTTCATATCAACAATTGTGTGTGATTCATATTTAGATCTAATTTCTACTAACTATTATCTAATTTCTTGATGCTTCTATTATTCATCATAGAACTTATCTTTCCACAATTTTATTTGAATTTCCATTTCTTAATATTATTATTAAATCATTCTATAATCTCTTCTCATTTTTTCTAATTCTCTTTTATGATTATCTAATTCAAATTAATATTAATTAGTTTATTCATTCAATTATTTAACTTAGTTTTATTATTCTAATAATGTTTCATTAACCTACTTAAGTTAAACTTCATAATACTCTTTTAAATTGGATTATTAATTAATTTCCTCAATTTTAAATGAGAATTCTTTCTTCTACAAAAATAATTAATTTTCTAATTAAATTATTTATCTTTCAAGTTCCATTATTCTATTTTTTTCTTTTTCTGATTATCTTTAGAAATTGATCCCTCCTTCTTTTTTTAATCTTTCATACTGATTTGTTAATGATTGATTCTCTATTTCTAATGACTAAAAATGTTACTTTAGAGTGGATATTTCAGATTCATATTTTTTAGTTATTTTTTTTAATTGATCATCTATTTATTATTATTTTTATCTATCCCAATCTTATTTTTCTATTTTTAATTATTCCTCAAATATAATTCGTAGTTCTTTTTCCATATTATTCAATTTATATTATAACTTTTAAATTGATTCATCTTTTTCTCTAACCAAATAATCTACATTTGTATTCTTATTCTAATGATATATTACTTATTATTCAAGTTCTTTGGTTTCAATTTTATATGCATTTATTTATTAATTTAATTAATTTATTGTGTTTTCTAAAGTTCTAATTTAAGTTTTATATCTATCACTTTCAATACTATTTCTTGTTTAATTTTCCAATTAAGTAATACTTAAACGATATCCATTATTTAATTCCTATAATTATTTAATTTCTGCAATCAAGATTTCTACTTCTTCTTTTATTTATTCATTATCATTTCTATAATAATTAATTTATTCCTCTAATTCAATTATTTTCATTCTATAATTGTCATAATCTTTCATCTTGATTTCTAATGAAATATATCTTTATTTCCAATTCTCTAATTCATTTTGAATATTATGAATTTAATAACTATCTCTTTATATTTTATCATTTTATTATTATTCAATTTATTTTTTAGTTTCATTTATTCTAATTTCCATCTAAATAATTCTTCTTTCACTTTCTTCTTTTTGTATTTCAACAATTTAACATTTTTCCTACCATTATCGACATTAAGTTTAATAGAAACTCATTTCTTACTTTAGTTAATCAATTTGATATTACATATTACTCTTTGATTCAGCCATAGCAGATTCAAGTTTCATTTAATTTTAATTATGTGCTTCAATTAATATTTGAATATCATTATCCATCTCTTTCATTTTTTAATTTAATGTTTGTATAGTTCTTTCATATATTTCTTTATCTGATGATCGTATCTAAACTTCAGATTGATATCTCGCAATTTCTTAAGTCAATCTAATAATTTCATTTTAAGTTATAGAGTTCCTTTATTCTTTCACTTATTTAATTTCTATTTCTAAATTTTATGTCCTACTTCTATATGTTTAGATTTCCTATTCATATTTACTTTTTAATCTCAATAATTCTTCAACTTACTTCTTCTATTATTGTAACAGAGCATTTAACTATGATATTTCTTTATTATTAAATAAGATTTTACCTTGTTAATATTTGATCTATTACTGAGTCATTGTAGATATATCTTGTTTGTATCTAATCACGAGAGTTGATTATTCAGCATCTTAAGAATTTCTCATCAAGAGTTGAGATCTCAATTTGGCTAACTCCTATTATGCAGCTTCTAATTCTGCTTATGTAATCATATATTTCTATTTAAGATTATAGCTCTCCCCTGACATCTATTTTAATTACTAATTATCCTTATCCAATTATTCAATCACCTCTTTCAATTTATGATTATCTTAAAGTAATTCTTCATATCGTCTATATATTCAATTAGTAGATTACTTATCTTCAAAAACAGTACTCTTTCTTCCGTTTTAAATATTGTCACTTATTCGTCTAAAATATATATTATTAATTTACTTATCAGTACTTACTACTATACCTGAAGTAGTTTAATACTTATCATAAGTGATTGATTGTCTACTTTAAGATAGAGGAACTTGTAGGTATTATTTATTCATAATTGAATAATTATAATTGATATTTGATATAAATTTATGATAAATCACAACTATAGGGCAAATGACAAAAATAAAAATACTAAAATAGAAATTATGATATTTCTCTTTGAATCTTAATTCTATCTTTGAATAATAAATATCATTAATATATTTGAGCATTATTTGAATCTCTAAAGACTTTTTTCAATCATCTGCAACCTTATTATTAAATTATTGATTTGTTAAATTTACACTCTCTCTTTTTCTGGTATTCTTAATATATTTGGTATTAGATATGAATATTTTTTCATTTAATCATAATTATTAATTATATCTGAATTCTATAGACTCCAAAATCCTACTTATGCTAAGAATGAATGAATAGTTTAATATGTTTAATCTTACTATTAATTTAGAAGAGCCTAATTAAAAAATTCTTTTATATTATTAATTGAATTAGACAATTAATTTTATATTTCAATATTAGTAAGATCTATATGTTGATCTTCTAATGTAATTGCTGTTGCAAATAAGGATTCAAAAATATATTCTACATTTTCAATATTAAGGAAAATATTTGAAAAATATTAATGTGCAATTTGTATTTTATCTTAATATTCAACTTTAATTCTTGTCTTACTCTTGCTTATATGTGTCAATACATTTTTCACTAAATAAGCATTTTCATTTTTATCAATAAGAATAAAAATTAGATTTTACTATAATAATTGTTGAAACTAAACTATATTAAGTGATTTAAATTTAATTGTATCTATTTCAACTTCTTCTTCAATTAAATATTTGAGTGATTACTTTGTTCTTAATACAATTTTCTTTTCATATACCTCTCTACTTTATGGTTTTATATATATATTATAATAATTTTAGGTATCATCATCTTACTTAAAATTTTACTAATTCTCAAAATTTAATCTTAGTTAAATCAACTTTGTTAAAAATTTATTATTTTCACTTAAATAAATCTCATCTACCTACTCCATTCTAAATATTTCATTAATAATACCTACAAATTGGACATTTCTTAGAATTATTTTAATCTTATGTCATACATGCTTTACAAAAACTATGTCCACATTTCATAGATACAGGATCATTCATTGCATTGTAACAAATTACACAATCTAATTGTTGTAATACATTATTCAAAATAGTTTCTATTATTTCTGGTGTCAAATTTGATTTTAATTTACAATCAAAAGATGTTGTAGCTTTTATAAATTAATCTATTCCTTAATAAGATGTTGTGCATTAAATAATTCTATTGTACTTTTAATATTATCTTAAGTTTTATAATATTTAAGGATTATTTTATGAACATTTCATAAATGATTTTAATATGGAATCTAAACTTATTAAAATTTAATATTTAGTTGTTTCTGATATTTAATTTTGAAGAATTATGAAAATCAATTCTAGTATTTTATATAACTAATAAATTAAATCATAATATTACTTATTTCTATTCTTTAAATTTGTTTGGATTCTTTAAAGTTTCTACTATATAATTAGATTCTTCATCATTTGTAGAATAATAAATTATTTATAAAATATCTAGTAAATACTTTTAATTGTTAATTAAGTTTCTATTATTGAGCAATATTAATGGTTTCATAAGGCTTGCTTAATTTTCTAAAGCTTTAGTGCATACGTTTGTAAATTACTTATTAGATATTTCAATTTATTCTTTATTCTCTTTTAATTGAATAACACTTTGAATTTAAGGATCTTATTCTTTTATTAGTTCTTTCAATCTTTGGTTCAAAAGACTTTAATATTTGAAAAAGGACCAAATTTTCTTTGATGCCCAAACCTTTTTTATAATCTCAAATTAATTATTCATTTTATTTATTATTATAATTAAACATACAATAATTTCTCAGATTCCAATGACTCTGTAATAAAATGCAAATAATAATAATAGCACTATGATTATTAATTCAGTTTTATTATTAATTCTTTCTTTATCTCCTGGAATTTTGAAAACCATTAATGGATTTGTTATATTTTAAAATCTTTACAATACTTAAGAGATTTAAATCAATCTCTCTATACTATTATTGGCATTGAAAATTCTAGTCCTTTCTTAATCTGTTAAATGTAGAATACAAGGAATAACAAAACTAATATGTTTTAAGGCTTTCTCATTCCTTATAATATTACTCCTAAGAATTTCAAATAATTGAAGTCTATGAAAAAATTCTTCAAAATATTTAGCAGTATATGAATCAATAAGTTAAGGTAAATGAGAAGCCAATTATTATCTTATAGTATCTATTAAATATTTGATCTATTAATCAGTTTATAAAGTGAAAAAAATGGGTTCTTCATTAATTTCTTATACTTTTGCAACATTTAATGGAATCTCTTTTTCTATTCTAAATGTTTCAGGTTTAATTTATAAGACTTTCATTTGTTCCTTAACTTGAACACTTAAATCAATTAATTTAGAATTTATTACAACTTTAATAACAATAACTAGAGTAGCAGTCTGAGAGAATTAATTACAAAAATTTTACTTCTTAAATTGATTGATTTTTATTTGGATTTGTTAACAATATTAATGAATCTCTTTTTAAGATTTTATATATTTAATCTTCATTTAAATCTTTGAATTAATTTATATTGAGATGTACATTTTAATTGGTATAAGGTATAATTAGAGATTTAGTTTCAAAAATCAAATATTATTTAATACTATTTTCTTAAATTTGTTTTGAAATAATTTAATCAAAAATTCGAGGTTTAACTTTTTTTTTATTTTATTCAATAAATAATTCATTAATTTCTTTAACAACAGATTTAACTAAAAAGTTTTCTTGAATTTTATTAATAATATTTGTAATAGGATATCTAATTTATTAATTATATATAAAAAATACAAGCATTCTGGACATTAGGGTTTAAGATTAATTGATCTAATAATACATTCCCTACAAAAAGTATGACCACAAACAATTGTTATAGGTTCTTCAAATAATAATTAACATGATGGACATTTGCATTCCTAATATATTTTTTACAATTTTATTAAATTAAATTTAAATTTATTATGTGATTCCTATTCTACTTCTTAAGTATTTTAAAGGTGAATTAATTCTTAATCATTGTATTTATCAGAGTTAAATGATTCACTTTATTACATAAATTAAAAAAATAAAAAATTAATATAATTATTAAAATCAAATAATTCTTTTTTATAGAAATATAGAAAATATATTTATGAGTATAGATATAATAATTTTTAAAAGATCAAAATTGTTATTTATGCAATTAACTCATTGTTAAAACTTTCTCTGCAACTTAAACAGTTTTTTTAAATTTTTTATTTTCTTAAACTTGTACTAAATACTATTGGATACTAATAAGATATATAATTTACATTATCATATAATGTATGTTTCTTTTTAGTTGTTCTATCAGTTGGTTACAATAATTATGAGGCTAAATCTAAGGATAATAATTCTTTATGCATTTCATTTTTTCTAATTTATGTTTACATTCTTTAATGTTCTTCTTTCATCTCTTTAAATTCATCCTTCATTTACTTTATTTGTTATTCCAATAAATATGTATATTCTTAAAATTTATCTCTTTCATCTACAATCTTATAATAATCATTATTAAGTTCTTCCAAAACCAATTAATTTGGATCCATATGTATTTCTATATCATCATCATCTTCCTTAATAGTTTTTCCTTATTTACGAGCCTTTTTAAGTTCCTCCTTCTTCTTTTAAGCTTATGTTCTTTACTCACTTAGTTTATCTCTTATAAATATACTTAACCCACTTTCAAACATAGGATCCTTTCTATCCTTAACTTCATTTGGTTAATAGTATCTTTTTGCAACTAGATCTTTGTATACATCTAACAAATATAATGGAGCAATTATTTATTTTTCTAATTATGATGCTGCACTTTTATCATCTTATTTCATTTTGTTTACATCAATTTCAAAAAAGTTATTCATCAATTAAGATGGACTTTATTAATCTTTTTTACTAACAGCTTTATATGCATAAGATAATTCATCTACTAATGCTACTACTTTTCTTTATAATCCTTATTATTCATCTTTGAATTATTTTTCAAATGATTCTTTAAGTTTTTATGCTTCAAATCTAGTTAACATAGTTATAATTGAACAAGCACTTTGACCAGAAATAGTTGCAATATCATCCAAATTTGATTTTGTTATTCTTAATAATAAACATTTCATTCTAGAAATAATATTATTTTCTTAATTTGCATTAATAAGAAATTGTTTTAATCCAATTGTATCTCCTTATTTATAAATAATAGATGGTTAATTTTATTAAAATTCAATTAATTCTCCATCTAAAACAATATAAAATACATTTGATGCTTAATGAGATCTAATTAAAAGTTCTTAAGTTTTTGTTTCAATTAAAGTACAATTTTATACAAATGCACGTTTATCTCTTTAATCTAATTAATTCCAAAAATATCTTAAATTTCTTGGTTCTTCTACTATTAATTTATCTTTCTTTTTTTTATTTGGTTCAGGATCTGGTTTTACTCCTAATTAATCTAACATAAACATTATTTTTTTAGTTGTTGTTTCTACTATTGTCTATTCAGGTAAACTCTAATATTCTTAACCTAAATATTATTATGAAACAGAATTCAATGTAAAAAGTGAAATTTATTTATAAAGAAAAGTAGAAAACTCTGAATCACGTTTCTATAAAATTCTTAAATCATCTAATCTTATTATTGCTATATATCCTTCTTCTTTTGCAAAATAATCAATTTATTATACTTCACATCTGAAATATTAAAATTTATTATATACCCTGCTAATTTTATACATGCCATATGACCTAAACAATCTCCTTCTGTTAATGTTATTTTATGTTAATTTTCAACAAATCCATGTACTTATCCTTTCAAAATAAATCCTAAAAAATCTACTGGCTCTCCTCTTCTTGTAATTTATGTTTTCTCTTTGAAACTTAAAAATCTGAAGTACTCCTAAAATAATATCAATTATTTTTATGTGAAAGGAGAGAAAAATTTAGTAGATTTTCTTAAAGTCTCTAAAGCAGGCATAATTTGATCTTTTACTAATTCTGATTACAAACGTACTCTCATTAAATTATTTATTATGATAAAAACAAAAAATATTGTCTAAATTGAAAAAATAGACAATACAGATTGGCCTATATTTAAATGTGATTAATCACATAATAATATATTCTGGGATAAAAAGAATGATTAGAAATTAGATACAAATTAAATCATCATAAAAGATAATCTATTTAGAATTGGAAAAAATAAATCTATACCAAAGTAATATACTTATTTATTAATGAAATCTGGAATATTAATATATTAGGATTCTAAAATAAAAGGAAAAATACAATTAAATCTTAAAATATTAATAAAGAAAATTGAATTAACAAATGAAGAGGATCAACTTTAATAAAAAATTGTTGCAATTAGAATTTAAAAATATTAGAATTGTTTTATATATATTTGGAATCCAGAAAATTAGTATGATTATTTATTTATTTTAAGTATAGAACATGCACAATAAATTGGTATAAAAAATTAGCACAATTTTGTGTTTCTTAAAATTTTGAAGGTTTTTATAAAATTATAGAACCAATTGATCAAGGAGCTTTTAGTTCTGTATTTCTAGTCTCTTAATTAATGCCAGAAGAATAAAGAAATAAAAAATTTGCTGCTAAAATTTATTCTTAATCTTTATAATAAAAGATTTCTGCAAAATAAATGAAAGTATATTTATATTAATATTAAGGATTTTGTGACATCTGAATGTTAAATTCTAAAAATTGCAAAATCTGAATTTATTGTAGAACTCTTTGAAGTTATATAATTAGAAGATGTTATAATATTAATATTAGAATATATTTAAGGAGGAACATTATCAAATTTAATTAAATAAAATGAAATACATGAATTGATGTCAAGTGAGATTTGTCATTAAATTATATTAGGATTAAAAGAAGTACATAGGTATTAATTATAATTTATATATAGATGTGGTTATGTACATAGAGATATAAAATTAGATAATATTCTAATATCTCAATTTAATCCTATTTAAGTTAAAATTATTGATTTTGGATTTGCTGAAAAAATCAATAAAAATTAACTTATAAATAAATAAGGAACACCAGGATATATTGCACCAGAATTATTTGATTTGGCTCCATATACAGAGAATTGTGAAATATTTAGTTTAGGAATTTTATTTTATATATTACTCTGTGGAAATTTTCCATTTAGAAGTACAAATTATGAAGGTATATTTTAGTATTTTATTAGAAAAGTTTTATTAGAAAGAAATAAGTAATGTTAAATCAGATTATAATTAGATGAATGGAAAAATATCTCGTCTTCAGCTTAAAGAATGGTATAAAGAATGCTTGAGAAAGATCCTATTCGCAGGATTACTTTTTCGGAATTAACAATACTTTTAGAATTACATATTAGTAATTTAAAATCTAAAGGATCTCATTTAAGATAGAATCTCAATTAATCAGCCAATTCATCCAATATTAGAGGAATTACATATGAAATAATTGAAAAATCTCCTAGCAAATTAGTTTAAGCTATAAAGGATAATGATGATGATGATATTGGTTTAGATGAAAATAGCCTAAATAATAATAATATTTGGAATCTACAATAATCATGCAAATATTATAATAAATAAAAATGGATAACTTAATGAATTTATATATATTTCATTTATATTTAAATTATTTTAATTATGAATCCAAATTTGTTGAAAAGCAATTGAATTCTTATTCCAATTATTATAATAAACTATTTGTAACATTAAATTAATTAGTTATAATTTCTTTTAGTGCTTTTTATGGAATTTTTAACTTAGTACAAATATATTCTTAAACTTATTATTCTGTTTTAAGACTAAATAATTCATTTTTTATTATTTCACTCAAAAAATGAAGTATTTAATCAAATTCTAATTATAATAATTCTTTTTAGTAAAAATACAATAAAAATAAAACACATTTATAAAATCCTTAAAATATTATATTCAATTATTACCTTTCCATTATTAAATAATGAATATATCCCATATAATATTTAATAATGCTGATTATAATGTAAATTAATATACTTGACTGAAAACAGTAATAACCCAAGCAGTTAAATAATAAGATGCATCAACTTTTTACTTTCATAAATTAATCATATTTACTTTTTTAAAATGATGATATAAATTAGGTAAAAATAAGAATAATAATCTCTCATATTAATAGAATACTTTTTTCTAATAAAAATAATTTATCTAATAAATACCAACATTTCAAATTCATTCTCAAAATATTATGAAAAATAATTATTCATTATATAATCGAATACTATATATGTGACTTCTTCATCTTCAAATGTTAAATATAGATATCCTACAATATAATTCATTCCTTAACAATATCCAACTTCTTTATTATGAAATGCATATGTTCTGAGGAATGATTATAATTTACTTGAAGGAACTTTTTCAAAATGTAATTGTAAAGACCTTTAAACATCCATAGTAATAATTTCTTCATATTATTATATCTCTTATTATGCTTCTGATTTTTTTAATGCATAATCCATATTATTTTGAGCAGTTCTTAAATACACTTTTAAATTTTATGCTCTAAAATATTGATTTTGTTCCATTTATGGTAAACTATTGTGAATAATATAATATTTTTCAATAGCAAATCTTAAATGGAATTTAAAGGCTTTTGATACTAATAATAATTATTAGGGTCTATCTTTATATGATAAATATTTAATAGATAATCTGATAGCATATATTAATTTTGTTTAAGGATTATTTAAACCAAATCTTCTATATTTATCTTCTTTTCTTTATTTCATACCCAATCCTGAAGTATATTTTTAATTAAATGTTATTGCATTTTTTTCTTCCATAATTTATAATAATTTTTCTAATTATACTTTTTCTAATTTAATATCAGAATGAAATGCAAGTTCTAAAATTACATCTGTTCCTAATTAAGGAGAGACATTCAATTCACTAAGGAATGTAGCAATCTCATATAAAACAATATATTTTTATTATTAATATTTTTCTTTTTCTGAAAATTATTATACTTATACAGCTCCAGTTATTTTTTTTAATCCTTTACTAATTAATCCATATCCTTTTTTAACTAAATTAAATTATTAATCTAGAACTTGTTTTTACTAAAATTTAGTTGATTTAATATGTTCATATAAAGATCTCCATTTTTATTTATTTTACCAAATATCTAATTTAGAAAAACTAGAAATCAAATGAGAATTTTCTCCTTTTACAATTTTATATGATAATTATAAAAAGATATAGAATTCTTCTACATCAAAATCAGCATCTAATATTAAGAATACATGTTTAAAAATTGAACTAACTTCATTAAAAGAATCTTCTTATAAATTTAATTATTTGATTTTTCTCTTTTCAATTTCCTTTTATAATAAATTAATTAAGAATGATCTTCCTGATTATTTTGTCATTAATTATTTAACTCCTAAATATTCATGTGATAAAAATTAATTAGATTTTGTTGAAGAAGTAGAATATGATCTATTTCTTGAATTATTGGCACTATCATCTGATGTTTCTTAATTTTCCATTATATCATTAATAAATTAAATAATTTTTGTAGCTTATTCTTCATTCAATTATTCTCCAATCAAAGTCCATTCACTTCCTATAAATTGCAATGATTTTTTCTATTCTCCTCTTTTAATTTAATCATAATTAATTTAATCAAATAATTAAAATTAAACTGTATCAGCTTAAAATAAGTATAAAAATTACTTCCACTTTTTTTTAACAATCTTTAGATTTAATTTTGTAAATCTTAAGGTTATTTTTATGTTACTCGTTATTCTAATTAATTTAATTTATCTTAATATATAGAATATACAGTTTCATTTGTTAATTTTTTCATTAATGATAACATTATCTATTTAGAAAACTTGATTCTAAAATTTGAATTATAATATATTTACCTGTTTTCATCATTTAAATATATTTATTAATACCAATCTTTTATTTTTAAATCAAAATCTGTAAGTTTCTTATTTCCTTTCTCTATAATTTTTTTATAATCTTCTTATGCTTCTACTGCAATTTCTTTTAATTTAATTTATTTTTCTGATGCTTTTACTAATTCCTCTTTACCTTTATTTCCTTTTGCTATCTCTCCAACTGTTCTTTCCATAACTAATTAACATTTATCTGCATTTTGCATTAATCGTATATATTCTTCTTATTAATCTGAAATTTGCTTATTTAAAGATTATATATTTGCAACATATTCTTTCATTTCTGAAGATAATTTTAAGTTTATATTTCTATAATTGCTCATAATTAGTTGATATGGTTCAAGAACCTAAGACATTAATAATAAAATAAATAAACTTCGCTTTTCAAATTTTCACTTGTTTATTACCACTATTGAGAATTTTAAAGTAAAAAGTTACTCAAATATTAGTAAACACATTCAATATTATCATCATCACCAGTGCCTTTAATTACAAATTCATGGAGTTTATCTGCAATTTTTTTTAAAGATGCTGAAAATATAGTACATGCTCTTTCTATTTCTTTGAACTGAAATATTTAATAATATATTACAGTTTTCTCTAATTCTAATGTATTATTATTTGTATTTAAGAGATAAGAATGCAATTGCAAAAATTCTTATGATGTATATTCAATAAATTGATTAGCCATATATTATTTATAATATATAGAAATCAGTATTATAAGATAAAATTTAATAAATATATGTAAAATTTATGTGGATCCTTGTTAAATAGATGGTATAATGCCAAATTTAATTTAACTTAATATGTTTATGATATAGATAAATAGTTAAGATAATAGGATAAAATCATTCATATTTTGAATGATACAATATCAAATGATATAGACATTGAAGTAAAATAATTTAATTAAAATATAAGTAAAGAATAGAAAAATTGAAGTAGATTTTTACTAAAATTATATGGTTTTCATATAGGAAAAATATTCCAAAATTTTAAAGTTTATATTACTTTTATTTTTTAAGTCACATCATTAACTTCTGATACTGGTTGGGGATGTATGATAAGAGTTGCTTAAATGGCATTGGCTTAAATTATAAGATATTATCATTCTTTTACTAAACCTGAATAATTGATAGTTTTAATTAGACATTTCATTGATGATGATGATAATGAGTTGACTGATTTTATTTAATAAACTAACAAGAACCAAATTGAATATTATCATGCTCCATTCTCTATTTAAAAAATTGTTCATTTTGCAAAAGTTCAACTTAAAAAATAACCTGGAGATTGGTATAAACCTGATGAAATACTTTAAACCTTAGATTATTTATTTAAATATTCCTAATGTAAATTGAATTTTAATAAAAAGACTCCTTAAATATGTAAATCTATATCAATTATGAATGTGCTTTTATTCTATAAGATGCAATTCAATAAATGTTTAATTATAATTAAGGTAATGAAATTTGGTTGAAAGAACGTGCTAAAAATAATAATCAATTTAATTCAGAAGATTATAAAGGCATATGTGTCTTCCTTCCTGCTCGTATAGGTCTCCAAAATACTAATAAGGATTATTTGGAAGTCATGAATTAATTAATGACTTTACCTTATTTTCAAGGAATAATTGGAGGTGTTTCAAAAAGAGCTCTTTATATTGTAGGAAGAATACAAGATTATTTAATCTACTTGGATCCACATTTTGTTTAAAATGCTTAAAATTTTGAGGATCTTTCAAAAAGTTAAACATCTTACACTTGTTAAAATATATAATTAATACATAATTCACTAATTGATCCATCTATTGTTATTTGTTTATGTATTCGTAATGCACTTGAATTATTAGATTTATGGCAAATAGTATATTTTATTATTATAATAATAGCTTTAACATTTGAAATAAGAATACTAAGAACTTTTTTTTATTTCACTTTTAGAAACTAATAATGAATTATAAATATTAAATTCTTTTCAATATATAGATTAAGATGATGAATTAGTAAACATTGTAAAATGAAAATAATATACTTTTTATTTTAATTAATATCTATTTGATAAATGTAAAAATAACAAAATAAATAAACATAACCTTCTCCATAACCAGGCAAAGTTAATTAATAATAAAGAAATCCATAACCTACTCAACCTTCTAAATAAAAAGTATTCAATGCTGAAGATTATGCTAAACCTCCACATTTAACAAAAGAGGAAGTTTTAGAAGTTAAAGTATTATAAAATAATAATTTTAAGTAAGCTTTTGATATATTTGATAATGATGGATCAGGATCAATTGATCCATAAGAATTAAGAGAAGCATTTGAAGCATCTGGAATTAAAACATATCACAATAAATTTATTTATTAAGTTTTGGGTGAATTAGATACTGATAATTCAGGAGGAATTGATTTTGAAGAATTTTTACATTTAGCTACAGCTAAAGTTAGTGATAAAGATACAAGAGAATAAATACAAAAAGTATTTAATTTATATGATTGGAATAAAGAAGGTTAATAATTTAATATATATATTAGGTAGAATTACTTGGGATGAACTTAAAAGAGTAGCTTAAGATTTAGGAGAGGAAATGACAGATGAAGAAATTTAACATATGTTTAAGAAAGTATAAATAATTAATTTATTATAATA